TCCCCTTGCGACCACGTCCCTGCGGTGTTGTGAAAACTTGAGTTTGTTGTCTAGGGTGACCCCGAGCCACTTCGCGCTTTTGAGTGGTGTGAGTTTCTTCCTTGTGCCGAAATCGATTGTGGGTGGACTCGTGATGTCGTTGGTGCTGAAGATCGACCAGTGGCTTTTCTTGATGTCGAAGATGGCCCCGTGGAGTTTGGCCCATTTGGTTTGTCGAAATGTTAGAGTTTGCATTCTTGACTTTAGTTGATGTAGATCTGCCGCCGATGCCAAGAGGATGACGTCGTCCACGAAGCCTAGAGCTTCTGCCCAAGCCAACGGTTCAGCAATGTCTAGTAGGGATGTGTTATACAGGAGGTAAAGGAGTGGAGAAAGGGGAGACCCTTGCGGTAGGCCGTGAGTCAGATTGTACGCTTTCGATTCGAAGCCATTGAATACCAATCGAGTCGACCTGTTACTGAGGAAGCAGCGGATAATGTTGATGGTTTGGGAGTGGACTCCTTTTTTCTCGAGGGTGTCAAGTAATCTTGGATGGTGCACTGATGGAAATGCAGATTTTACATCTGCAAACATAGCGCCCACATAGTTACCCTTTGACCATTCCCGTCGTATGTATGCGACTAGATGGACGAGGGCCTCCTCACTGGACCTATTTGGTCTGCTGCCGTAGTGTCCAGCGTTCAGAAGTTGGAGCTTCTCGACTTGTTGTGACAGATGAATGGTAATAAACTTTTCGTAAAGTTTGCTGATGGTGTTGAGGAGTGCAATGGGTCGAAAGGATGCCGGGGTTGTGTAATCGGATTTACCAGGTTTGGGAATCATGATGGTTTTTGCTTCTTTCCATCGTGTGGGATAGATGCCTGTAATAGTGATACATTGGAAGAGGGCGAGAACATGATGCTTTACCTGTGACCATAGTTCTTTCCAGACCCAATTTTGAATTTGGTCTCCTCCCGGAGCCTTTAAAGGCGGGCTATTGGTGACAATTGTTGCCAGGTCTTCCTTGTTCAGGGACTTCAGAAGAGTTGGCATTTTTGATTCTGTTAATCGTGAGTCTTCCTCTAGGGGGAATTCGAGATGGGCTGTGTCCTGAAGATCGCACGGTGCCGTGGCAACACATGTTGCATCAAAGAGGGCGTTAGCTTTCTCCTCATTTGATGTACACGTGTTGCCCTCTTTCGTGATGAGCGTGTTGATAATCGGTGATGGTTGTCGTCCAGAAGTGTATTTCTTAGCTTGAAACAGTGTATCATGGGTAAGTGTTGATAGATAAATTTTCCAATTGTCTTCTTTCGCTTTATTGACTGCGTTTTTAAATTTGTTTCGAGCGTCTTTAAAAGCTTTCCGATCCTCTTCAGTTCTGGATTTCTTCATCTTCCTTTCGCATCTCAGAGCTTCCTTACGGAGGGGGTCCAAGATCGCGGGATTCCACCACTTCTTATGCTTACCAGGTGGTGGTTTCCACGGGGAGTTGTTGTCTAGGGCATTAGTAATAACTGCTATCAAATCTCTGTCGAAATCTTCAATTAAGGAGCGTGAGGTCAGCGGTTTGATGGGAGGGAGGTTTTGTTTAACTTCGGTTCGAAGGTCAATTTTTTCTACCTTCTTCCAGTTCTTTCGTGGCCTGGGATTGTTGGAGGTGAGTGGGGAGTTGTTCTTGGTGGAGATGGTGGTTATTATGGCCTGATGATCAGAAAAGTGGCTGGTTAAACTGTCCGTGTCAATGATGCATTGTTGTATGGCATCATCAAAGCAGTCATTAACCCACACTTGGTCGATTGAAGTACCAAGTGTGGTCTTTGAGCCTACTCCGAACGTGGCGATGCCTCGTGGTGAGCGTAGAGTGAGATCCCAGTTAGACATCAGGTCCATCAGCCGATCGGCATCTTTGTCCTGAGTGGTGATGTGAGGTGGGTTCCAGATGGCTGAGTGTAGGTTGCAGTCCGTATTGACAATAGTCGGGAGGAGCTGGATTCCCAGCGGTAGGCTCTTCATGAGTCCTTCATAGGCCTCAAAACCTGAGAAGACTGCGGGGTCGTTGTACACACTCACAGCAAGCAGTGTAAAACCGGATGCAAAGGTGACTGTGCAGGCCGCCACATCTCTAGAAGGCCAGGATAGTGGGTTGATCTGTGCCTGGAGATCTTTTCTAATATACAGACATGCTCGTGGTCTTGCTCCCGTTCTCTTTTCAGCGGGAACAGGGCTCACGAGCATCCAGTTAGCGTGCTCATTTGGTAGATAGTCGGAATTGTTCACCATGGGTTCTTGTAGTGAAAGTATTGCAAAAAGATTAGTGAAGTCAGAATTAAAGAGGGAATTTGCCGTATCCGGGGAATGACGGCAATTTAGTTGAAGGATTGATTCGGTGTCCGGTAAGGTGAGTTTTCTTCGTAGTTGTTCTAACATTGAGTTATCATGTCAACGACTACTTCGGGTACCACTACAAGGTTTGGGGACGCGCTAGGGTTATGAGGAGGGAGGCTCTCAGCGATGCGTGTGGCACATTGAGGGTGGAAGGGGGAGTGGGCTAGGTCTTTGTTGTTTGATTCAAACAAATTCTTTGCAGATTTTGTCGGATCCATCTTTACAAGGGCTCTGATGCACGCAGTGCACTTCATAGTAGCTACACCTTTCTTGCTGCAAACATGAGCGTGATGATCACCCCCGCAGTACGGGCACATTGGTGTAGAAGGACAAGACGGAGCTGTATGACCTGTTTTCCTACAATTGTAGCACCTCTTTGGAGGTTCTCTACCTGCTTCGGTTTTGTGGAGGCCTCGGCCGAACCACACTTTTTCCTTAACACACTTGTCAGCCTGTGCTTGGGTGTCCAGGCCGATCAGAAGCGTGGAGTAACGCTTTGACGGATCATCTTTCAGCTTTGGGTTGAGCCACCGGATAAAGGAGGCTTCTTGTAAAAGCTCAGGGTTGGACGCGATGAGTTCTTCCTTATGGCTATGAATTTCCGGGTCAAAGGAGGTCGGGATAGCGTGGACCAAGATTGTAAAGTGTTCAGTTTTAACTTGTAGTTTGTCTGATATGATTGGTAGCCACTCTTTTTCCATTCCTCTGACCTTTTCGGCATGGGCTGCACTCTCTAGATGCAAAACTAGGTCGCCTGAGGGCATTCGTTGGACAGTTTTGACCGTTATGGTAGCCTCTGAAGCCTCGGTGAGTTTTACGTCGTGGGTCTTAAAGGCGGTGTTGAAGCCATGTATCAGTTGCGTGATAGAGAGGGACCCCAGTGCTACTTTTGACTTGTCCAGTTGCGTGAGGGTGATGGTGTTTGCCAGTCGTTTCCTGGTCTTGGTTTTTGGGACTGGTCTGCGTTGAGAGCTTGGTCCTGCTGATGTTGGTTGCGATCTACTGGTCGCGTGTTTCGAGGCAGCTGAAGCATAAGAGCTTGTGCCAGCTGAGGTGTGTGGAGGTGTTTTCTCCTTTTGGGCCACCAAGGATGCAATCTGGTCTGAAAGAACATCAAGTCTCTCGCTTATCGAGCTGGCTTGGAAATCAAAGGCCGGGGTTGGTCCTTTTTCGCGGTTCACTAGCGGTACTGACGCTCTGGTGGAGCTTGCAAGGTCAGATACCGGTCTACGGAAGAGTACTCTCTTCGATTTATCCAGCTCGTGTTGGTCAAAAGCAGCGTTGATCAGCACGAGCAGATCCGCTGCAGTATCAGTGTCGATTGACACCTTCTTTGCGATTCTGCCTTTGGCCGGGAGTTGAATCGAGTCATTGGCCACCGAGACCAGCTTGGCCAGCATGACGGTGAGGGAACGTTCGTCCTCATTGCCTGGTATCAAACGGGTCATCCTCTCCGATCGAGGGGTGCCCGTTATGGACTGAACGTGGTCTTGAGCAATCAGACCAGGGGTGCTGGTACGTGCTCTCTTCTTGGAGAACTCGGCCAGTGCTGGGACCTCGTTTCGTTTAGGCAGGACTCCTAACGAATCGTTGGTGATTTCGACCTGTGGTAGTTCCTGGTCCGAGCTCTTGAGGAAAGCAGCTATCGCGTCGCCACTATGTGTAGACGCGTTCGGATCGGTCCAGCCGCTGGTCGAGGTGGTTGAGGGGTTGTCCTCGACCATTTGTCCCGTGTCGGACGCGTCAGGGGGCATATGACGCTAGCTATCGACAGGAGAAGATGATCGCGAGAACGAGAAAAAGTTAGGAGAATGGGATGGCGAAGCTGAAATTCGGGTCACGTGACCTCAGGAAAAAGCTGTACGAAGTCAGTTTCCTCTGGAATGCAAAGTGTCACTTTTGTTTCACCAATCGAGCGATAATTTTGAAATTAAGAAAAAGGAAATTGACCATTCACCAACTCAGTCGACTGCTCAGCATTTTGACTTTACCATCCACTTCATTTCTCATTTCTTAGAGCACGTCTTCAATGGATCCATGGTCAACCAACGAATGGGAGGAACCCACAGTTCACCACTCTTCTTCCATCGATAAATCAAGTTCAACTTTGGATTTCAATAGTTCAATCGATTTACCGAGCACTTTTCCAACCTCGTCTGATCCTCAAACCTCATGGCCTTCAGATCACAATGAATATTTGAACTCATGGGAATCTCAATCAATCCCAAAGAAACCTTCACTCTCATCTCTTGAGATATCTCATTCATCTCCAGCACTTCATTCAATTGGGACACAACCAAGCGATTCACCCGTTTGGCCATCAACAGTCGAACTTCCAGACTTCAACCACGTAACAGGACCTCAAGATCCATTGGCTATAGAATCTCAAGATCATACATCCAATCTACCTAAGATATCTTCACATCCTGAAGACTTTCCAGAGACATCTTTGAATTTGTCTTTCTCGGCCTCAGAACAAATTAACAACCACGACACTCGCTCAGAAGGCTCCAATGAAGCACATCCTACTCCACGTTCAGAATTGCAAGATCCAGAAGATAACAGCTGGGGTGAATTCAACTCGGAAACTTTCCAAGCTACCTTTCCTGCCCCGAAAATCGATAGTCCAGTCATTCCTACAGCCGATGCATGGCACGGCAACACAACTCTTGCCGAATGGGAACCTCCGCCGCTTCCACCACCTCCAACACTTTCATTAAATTCTATCATTCCTCATCAAGAAACAACATCTCCAGGCTGGGAACCCTCGGATGAAATTCCAAACCAAGTGGAAGACGAAGACGAAGATGGAACGGAAATGGGAGAGGTGATAGACGCTTGGGCAGATAACAAACAAAGAGGAGCTCACCAAGTCGTCAGTTCATATATTTCAATCTAACTAATGTTTATAACATCTGATTTTGTAATTAAATCTCTTAGCCGTCTGAAACGGTGGCCAAGTTCCAAGTGGATACTCGAAAATGGGCCACAGAACAATACCCAATACAGGAAGAAAACTTTCTTCCAGCGGGTAAGGCAGCCATGACTTTGGATCTTAGTGCAGCGATGGTTCAGGGCGGTGAACTGTCAGTGGAGTGTGTATTTTGGAGCTCTCAGAAAAATCAACACTTTGAAGATTTGAAACACTGACGATGACTTTGTTTTCTCGTTTGATCAAAAGTGCTGAGATTGTTGCAGATCTTTCACAACCTCCACTTCCTGAGACATCAGAAATCAGTACTCAAAAACTGTTTCAAAACTCGGCAATCTCAAATGCATTTCAATCTGCTATCAATCAAACAGCTTCTTCAGCAGCAAGTGTACTTAAATCTGCTAGTCGTCCTCGTCGATTGTTTCCAAGTGGAAGTCTTACTACCTTTACCAAGAATTCGACGTCCGAGAGTGGGCAAGCATCTGATCCGACAAATGATGATGCAATTTGGAATAACTTCTCAGCTCTTGAAGTACCACATCATCCTCATGACCAGAAAACAGATGCCTTTGGACTACACGATGCTAAGCAGTCTACCCAACCGCAAAACAAACCTGCCGGATTTTTCAGCCGATGGACTGGTCAAGCACCACTTACCACTAATACTCCTGCCACCTTATTGACGAAGAAACCCGACAATGTCCTCATTGATAGTATTTCTCCTCTCTCAGATAGCCGTCATAGTACTCCCAATCTTTCTGAAGCTGCCTTACCATCCCCAAGCTCGGCTTCAATGCAAGAGGCTTCTTCATCACGTCTCTCGCGATTGTTTGGTCGGTTTGGAACGCGCCCGAAAGATAGTCCTACATCGGATTCAAATAGTGCTATATCAGCGGTCACCGAACTTAACGATCGTGATGTTGCTTTCTTGGACTCTGTGAAAACCGTTCCTTTCGAGACTAAGCCAGCTCTTTATGATGAATTCGATAATCTCCAGATTGGGAAGCAGGATAAAGCCCACGATCTGAAAAACCCAAGGACAAGTATGAGTAGTGTACCACCAATCTATCCCGCTAAGCCGAAGATCAAAACCTCTTATTCAGACGGTCAAGAAGACCTACTTGACTTTCTAGCTCAAGGCGCACCTACGAAGACGTCTCCCAGTAAATCTCCCAGTAAAGTACTGAAATTTTCTCCAAACTCTATCACGTCTTCATCCAGCAAACAAAATGATCAAGATGTAGATCCGTTTGATGTTTTCAATACTGCCCCGATCTCCAATTCTGCTTCAAGTAAATCTTCTCGCCCTAATAGCTTTGGGCAATTTCAAGGGCAACACTCAAGCTTTCATATCTCAAGCTCAATGTCATCATCATCAAAACCTGGATCACATACGAAATCATTCTCAACCACTTCAAAAGTACCTCAAAGTCTTACTAGATATGATGATATTGATGATCTTTTCTCTGAATTTGAAAGTGTTAAACCTACTCAATCACGTCGTCAATCTTCATCAACTGTGGTACCTAAACAACACACATCTACCCAATCCTGGAGTACTCAATCTAATCATACGATTCCTACTTCTCAACCATCTCAATCAACTTTCCAGAATATGAATCAATCTTCACAACTGAATCGGATTCCAAAGATGGCTCAACCTAATGCACGTACCCCAACTCCTATACTTCATCTTACTCCGAATTCGACCAATTCCAATGTACCTGTACCAATCTTGAGACCTCCACCATCTGGATCATCTCCTATTCCTCTGATCGCTCCACCTTCTTCAAAACTTGGCATCTTATCTCCACCAGCACCACCTTCTTCAAACCTTAAAATCTTATCACCACCACCACTACCTTCATCATCTTCTTCATCATCAAGTAGACCAATGATGTCCTCATCATTTGTTTCAAAACCAAATGGAAAACTTAATCATCAAACTACTCAATCTGGTGGACTATCGAAGCAAGATTTAAGTTTCTTTGATTCGTTGTTGTAAAATTGTTTCTTTTTTTGGTGATTATGAATTTAAACAGTGAAAATGACGTTTGGATTAGTGAAGAACAATTTTTTTTTCTATGAGTTGTATTTTTTTTGGTTGATTAGGCTCAAGACTTAGTATTGTTCTCTTTTTTTGGGATCGGGTCTTTTAGGTACATAGTAAACTATAGCATTTTTGATGAGTTTTTAAATATGTAAAAAAATCAATCAATCAATCAATCAATCAAAAGGCAGATCAATCAGTGATCTGATTCTTATTGTTCAGTTTCTTTGCATTTTGTTTTGTTGGTTGTATCAATTAATTAAAAAAATGTTGAGAGATTTGTTCTTTTTGAATTTGTTGATGAATTTGTTCAGTTAAACTTGAATAAAAATAATTACAAAATATTTGGCCTGGCAACCATTCCATTGTATGTTGGATTTTGAGAAAAAATGAAAAAAGTCCAAATTTTGGTTTTCAACTGGATTTATACACAGTAAAGACTTTTTTTTGTTTTCAGTGGTGAACTTTGGAGTTTAAGCTTCTTTAAGGTAGTAAAGAACTTTGTTATTTTTTTTCAATGTCCAACATATGTATAATGAAATGGTTGTAGGATTTATAAGGAGAAAGAATTTGGGTTTATTGAAAGAATATCCTTTGGTCCTAAGGGAAGCAGAAATGTTTAACTGGAAGATGATGGGAAATACTTAAACCAGAATGGTGTTGTCCCGCTTGACCATCCAGATTTGATCTGTATTGATCTCCTGTCAATGTCTATCCTAACTGGCTTGACATTCTGGGAGGTCACTTGAAATTTCATCAATTTCAGGCTGTGACCTCCCGCAACGCTGCCACAGATACACTACTATGTATACTGGGTATCTTCAATACTATGCTAGTATAGTATCTGTGGCAGTGTTAGTATTAGGCTCCCGCTCTTAGTTTTGTGAATTTGACAACATTCATCTTTTGCCGCGCAATCAAGGAAGTGGTTTATTATATGAGTCCACTACATGCGCATGTTTGCACCATTAACTTACAAAATATGTACCACAGCATAAGACATCATAGACCATTCATCATTGATCCTGAGGCTCAGTGGGTGCATTTCTTCCATCTCCTGTTATCAAGATTCAAGTAATCATCTGACCCTTGCTCTCTCAAAGCTGACCCTTTTGCTAGGTCTTGTTTTGATCTTGCTCATGACTTGCAATTGATTTCGGGTGGTGGCTCATGATTGACACACACAAGCGACTTGCCTAATCTTCACTACACCCTTGAGACTCGCCTGACTGACACAACACTTACCTGAAGGGTCAACCTGTGAGGCCTCTCATGTATTTAAAACTGATCTCAAAAATCAAAAGAACACCGGGCGGTCATGTGAGACTTTGACAAAAGTAAACACAATGGGAAGTCGGAATGAAGGTGGTCAACAGCTATGATGTCATAGCTGAAGATTGAAACATATGAAGTGAAGATACAAACCAATCAGCTACAAGTTCACATGCAACACAATCCAACCTTTCCCATTCCACTATGTTAATAACTAGTTACCAACAACAAGAAAAGCTGCAATTATTTCGACCTACATTGCCATTATATGTGTATCAGAATTGATGCAAAGGCTATATGAGCCGCCTATGACATCAAAAGAGCTATACTGGGTCTATGTTGGGAGAAAAATATCATTTTTTTGTCTATCAAGCAAAAAACAATGGGCACTCAGGCAGTCAGGGCTGCCAGTGGTGGGTGTTTGTGACAGGGTAAAGAGTGTCAGCTTTGAAGATAATGTTTGGAAGAGTTGGCTGGGCAGGGCCAAGTCCTGGTCACAGCCCTAGTACCACTACCTGTTGCTGTAGCACAACCTGCACCAGTACAGTATTGTGTATATTTTCTTCAAGCTTTCACAGAATTGATAAGTAGTGCCTTATTTTGTGAAATAGTCATGAGATGTTCAAAGCACATGTGAATACAAATCAATAGAGCCCCCAACCCCAGTGTATAATATAGTGAGCTGTTGCCCAGGCACACAGTCAAGACTAGACTTTTCCTCTTCCTATCATAGTCATTATTGAAGTCTTTAAACAGGAAATCAAATTTTTCTATCTTGGAGTGTCACATGATTTGGTTTTCCAGTGTTACAGAATGTGGTAAACTGATGTACCTCATGATGCTGTATGCAAGGAACTGGTTGTATGATGAGTATCAAGAACTTTTATGAAGCACCTAAGATGCTAAACATAAGATGTGTAGAAACTGGATTGAAGTGCCTAAATTTAAGGATCCAAAGACAAGAAGCAAAAAGGATGAGAACATTGAATTTGACAGTATACAGGCACATTGGCCTAAACTGAGTGATCATGACTAGGAAAGTACAAAGAATGAATCTTTGAATAAATTTCCAAAAACAGTGAGGGAAGAAGAATTCTATAGGCTAATAGTAACATAATCAAATTTTCTAAAAAAAACATTCAAAATATGGAAACACACAACCCTATGTTCCCATTTATAGATATCCACTATCTTGCAACAAAGCCGGTGTATAACTTGTCAAACATTTGTCATACTTCCCTTCACAACTTTATAGTAAACAATATCACTTTGTCTTCTCAAACCCAACATCAGTTAGAGTATTTTGAATACAACCATGTCAAACACCCCTTGATGTGATACCCAACTTGAAGTTTGGATGTCTTGACCTTCAGTATTAAAATACCCTGTTCAGGTAGATGTATATCATAAGTTATGATATATCTTGATACTCAAATGTTTTTGTCAATTTGGTCAGGATCACTGGCGTACTCTGGCGGATGAACTGTTAACCCCAAGAACTTGTAGTACTTTTCCAAATAATGCCCAGTCACAATCCATGTTGAAAAAGCAGCTTTAGGCCATTCAATTTCTCCTGAACCTCTTTCAATACATCTTTTACTTTTCTCATCCATCAGGGACTTCAAATATGCTAACTCTGAACCTGCAACTCCAAAGTAAGTGCCCACCATGATTTCTGAGAAGCTAAGATTTTGTTGCTGTATAGATCCAAGTGAAGTATCATGTGTTGGATACCATTTTATATATGGTTGGATTTTGAATCTATTGAATTTTGTCAATATTCTCAGCCGTTTTTGTATGAATATCTCAAGTTCTTTATCTTCACCAATATACATTCTTGTAGGTGTCATATTCCAAGATGAGTTTTCTGACTCAAGAGTGTAGACATTAGGGCTTGCTGTGAGTTTACCAATAAGAAGCTCAAGAAAATCTTCAGATTTCTTGTGGAGAATCTTGCTGTTTAATTTGTCCCACTCAATCTCTGGAGATAAGAAATCCAAGGTATAAAGTAGATTGAGGAGAATGGGAATTGAAACTCCAAGTTGGGAAAGCCTCTTTGGATCCTGTTCTGCAAGCCACTTTTTGTACCTTTTCATTTCAGGATTTTGCATGGTGTAAATTGTTGCACACCTTTTACCTTGTTCAATAGTATCCATCAGTGAATCCAGCTCATTCTGCTGGACTTCAGTGAGTTTTGCCATCCTTCCTTGAAGGCTATCCCATTGATTTGACTTGTATTCAAAAAACATTGGCCATCTTTCATTCACTTTTAAAAGTTGAGCTACTGTTGCTACCTCTTTGCTGACTAATCCCTTTTTCTTGTCCCACTCTAATATTGATATTTCTTGCATCAACTGGTTTCCAATAGACTTCATTCTCCTGTAAGTTTCCCTGAATTCTGAACACTCTAATTTTTCTTCAAGCTTTACTTGCATATCATTAAGAATGGTATTCAATTGCATATTATTAACAGGGTGAATTTCTTGAGCATACAGTTCATGATCTATGAGTGTCATTATGAATTTGTTCTTGTTGTGCTTTTGGAAAGCTTTTTCAATCAAATTCCAAAAAGCTATCTTTTTCTTCTCAGAAAGATCTATTTCAATCTGCGGCCAAAAGGGTTCATGAAGCTGGCATGTGGATGGGTTTGATTCATCAATTTTGCTTTCATCCTTTACAATCAGTGTAACATTTTGCTTGGAGTTATTCTTTTTCTTTTTCTTTTTGTGTCTTGTAACCTGAGTGATCTTAGATGATTTGCTTAATGGGGTTTCTGTTTGTTCAAGTTGAGAAGAGGAGGCACTCAAATTGAAGTCATTGATCTGGGAAGGAAAGGTCTCAATATTTTTGTTCTCCTCTGGGATTTTTGTGCCTGTCTTCAGCTCAAGAGAAAATGCACCTTCTCCTCCTTCATTTTTCAGAACTCTATTGTCATCCTGGTAACTTGAGACATGCCCAGGTTGCACATTGGGTATTTCTGGTGAAATGGATTCATTATTCTTAACTTGCTTTCCTTTCTTCCTGTTTTTCTTGGAGACCAATCTCCACTCTTCATCAATTTTACTTGATGAAACTCCATTCAAGTTTTCATCATTGTTGTATTCAACATGTTTGCCCTTTGAAACCAGGTATTCTACTTTTGGAATAGCTTTCCTAAGTTTTCCTTTGTGGTGTATGACTTCAGCATACCTTTGTGCATTGTATTCAGAAAGGAATGATATGAGCAAAAGGTTTGAGATACCATTGAGAGAAAGGAAACAGACAAGTTTTTGTCAACAGTACCAATATCTGGCTTAGCAGATGGTATCACGTCTGAAGTTTTGGCATGCACTGTTGATGGTTTTGTTTGTGGGCCAAGGGCATCCAGTGATGTTAGGGGTCTTGCAGGGATTGAAGGTTCATTGTTGTAATTCTTCACATCATGTGATTCCCAATTGTCTTTTAAAGATACCTCTTCTTTCTGATCATTATGACCAGACTTAATTATACTGGAATAGGATATTGGAGCCTTCAAATGCTTGTCTCCAGAATGAATAAGAGATGGCCCTCCCTTCTCTTCATGGGTCATATCCATTTCTACAGCAGGAGATGTTTTACTTTGTTGCTCCATCCTGGTAAAAATGATATTGATTAATCTATTATCTTCATTTAGAGAAAACAATTCCAAATGAAAAGTTCTCACCTTGGCTTGTTTGAATATGTATGTTCATGAGTTGAGACCGGGTCAACCTCTTCTGGCCTACTATCTTTCAAGCTTTCAAAATGGCCTTTGCGAATGTGTGGTACAATCAAGTTTGGCCTATCTAAATGGGCCCTGTAGTTGGATGAATAAACTCATGAGTTCCTCTCAAAAAAATTTGACAGGTTTCTATCAATTCAGATATATCCAGAGGATGCCTACACATTATTAGAGAAGGACTCAGGGGTTGCAATCAAGCCATTCTCTCCATGATCCCTTAGATCTTTGGATATTGCCTCTGCTTTGATAGTATGATGGTCTACAACATGTGTTGAAGTCCTATGGATCAGGGAGAGGCCCAATGAACACAATGAATTTCAAAGATTGGTTAATGATACTTCAAGTGACTCACATCTCTATTGGGCTCATATTTTTGCTATCCACTTCAGGTCTGATATTAGGAACCATAGCCATGTCCTTACTTGAGGTGTCACTATCAGAGTATCTGATGTGATCTGTAACTGGTCGTATATCATATAATGAGAGGTCTGGTTTGTGGTGGATAATGATATTTCCGCTACGTGCCCAGATTCTTGCATGCTCTTCATTTGTAAAGACTGGGACAAAGCTTATTGGAATCAAGAGATCAGGATTTGGTAGAGAATTGAGGTTGGTGCCAGGATGGTAGTAGCTATTTGTGTTTGAAAAACCTGATTGAGTATTTTGACCAGTACTTTGATGTGCATTTCTAATCACACACTTTGATATGTCTTCTGAATCTGGAAGTATTCCACTAATCACTCCATTAAAAATGTAAAGCTGAATTAATAGCTGCCACATTTTTGTGTGTATAGGTCCCAAGAGTTCCAATGTGGGAATCAAGCAGAAAATTGAAATCTTCTGGGGGAATCTGATCTTCAAAGAAACTGAGATTTGTGTGACAGCTTTTGCATTGAAACAAAAAAAACTAGACAAAATGTTTTCATTGGATATTTTTTCTTCATATGAGTGTGATGCATGCAATAAGGTATGTATGTATATATCTTCCACTGTGCAGTGAGATCATACACACACTGAGTAAACTCAAGCATTTTGAGACATCCCCACCTTATTTTCATAAGCATAACTATAATCAGCTGTGTTTTGATTGTATTTCAGCTGTTATAAACATTGAAACCAATCTTCAAAAGTCACTGTCACACCAGTTGCTTGAACCTACATGGTTTGAATTGCATCAAGTCTTGATGAGCATATTGAAAAATCAGACCATAAAATTCCTCTGTAATTTATATGTGACACAAGGGCCACAATTTTTGGTGATGATTGAAACTCTATCATACACCAGAGAAAGGTTTGTTCTCATTGTTCCACGTGTGACCTGCAATATTGATGAGACATCAGGTAGGCTACTAAAAGAAACCTATTTTCTGAATTCTCTTGATATCTGTGAGTCAAGTGTGTCTGGACAACTGGGCTTTATTTGATTTTTCCAGTGAAGAACTCTCCAAATTATCTTGCTCAGAGGCAGTAAATTTGGCAAACCCATGTAGATATTTTGTGCACAGAATCTTTTGAAAGTTTTATAATTGCACCGTACAACTACTGTAACAAATTTGGGAAATAAAGAAAATGAAACAAGCTGCTCATGAGTCTATTGCTATATGATATCTCTCAGAAGCTGGAGAGAGCACACACCAAGTCTCTTTTTTGTCTGTGTTGACATGAGCAACCCAAATTGATCATGATTTGTGTTCTCTCCTTCTCTCAGTCATTTTGCTTCTGACCCTTTCATTCTTTATAAAAGGGAAAGCATCAAGAAAGCCCAGTCAACCAACCTATCCCCACATGTTAGATCACAATTGGAAGGAAAGTGGCTTTAGAAATCCCCACAACAATTCTTGCATTTACAGCTATTACCCAATTACATACCAGAAATCACCTTTGTTGAATTGTAGACGGCAAGTATATGGTACTCAAGATATGTCTTTTGTAACTCGAAATGCATACTTGTCACTCAAATTATGTCTCAACCCTTCTGGTAGTTTAAACTGAAAAAATGTGTTTCTCCATGGAGAAAAATGATTGAATCTAGTTTTTAAAGTGACATTCTTGATATTGATCCACAAAGTTTGGAAAAAAGGTAAGCCAAATTGTGCTATGTTCTTCCCGTTGGCAGAGTTTGGCCAATGTAGAAAAATCCTAGTGCTCAGTTTGGTGCTGTTGAAGTTTTCCCTGAAATAACACAGAAAAATGCAGGAGTGTTCCACTACATTCAGCCTTCAAAAGTGAGAAAAAGAATCTAAAAAATGACAAGTGAAGGAAAATATTGAAAAAAAAATCTGAAAAAATCACCACACATCACAAAGGGAATTTGTGATATCCCCTGATTTTTTGCATTTGTTGAACTTCTTTGAGATTGCAAAAAACAGGAACAACTTCATATATTGTTCAAGTTGATGCTGATTGAGAGGCTTCAAGAAACTTCAAAAGAACATTCCAGGACAAAGAGCATTGTATCTCTCCCCAGATCCTCCTGCCAGTATTTTGGGCCAAAACTGAGCCCTCAATCCCAGGTACAATGTTTTGTCCTCCATTTGTTCACAAATGCAGTCATTTTTCACCATGTAGATTACTTATGTAGTGCTATGGGTTTTGTTACACACTTTGATTGAGTTCAATTTTTTAGTAATGTCACAACAAAACAGAGTCTGCTGAAATCTTGTTTTGTTTTGTTGTGACTTGGATGTTGCCACCACAAGAGAAGCTCAGAACTCTTAGGAGAAACTTTTGAGATGTTTCTTGAACCCTCAGTCAATTCAAGGTCATTGGGAACTTGAACCTTCTGGAATCTCAACACATATGCATCAACACAGCACCACCAACAAAGATACCTCGGTTTGGTGAATCCAAGGGGTCCTCAGATGGAATAGACTTGGAGATGGATCATTCCCTTGGAAACACATTCCAAGAGGGGTGTCTGAGGATACCTGAAATTTGACAACCCAAGGTATCTTTATTGGCAGTGCAGCACAGATGCATAAAGTAACACACCAAAATAGGGCATGCTTTTATTGTATTGTGGTGCAGATACCCATCACAAACAAGCTATCTTTATCGCATTTTCCAAAAAAAGAACACAAACCGAGTTGAGTCTGCTCATTGAAACTGGTAATGACCTAATTACATTGGTTTCAATTTGAAGAGGTTGGTGATGGCTATAATGTCAGCCATGAGGATTATTTTGGCAATACTCCCATTGCCAGCCACAAAACATACTCAAGTTAAGAAAGATACTGCATGTCAATTTCAACAGTCAACTGAGGTTGATAGAGATAAGAAGCATATCACTTGTTCCTAAATAACCCTTATGAATGTGCGCAAAAACCCTGATTCAAACAAAACAAAGAAGTATTCACAGTGATGTCTAGATATGTAGGTGGTGCTTCCCTCCATCTCAAGAGGTATCATCTGATCATATTTCACCATACCACTTTTACAGCACTTTCCCAATATAGGCATGCAGCCGGTTGAACAGGTATTGCCAGATATTGATGTTCACCTGAATTCAGACTTGTTCTTTGACCCTGCAACCATTGTGACTACCTCAGACCAGAGCAAAAAAGCTTCCGAACCCTTTGATATATGATTCCAACCCCACCTTTATTTTTTGTCTGCCATTTTTTTTTGAAAAGCACCTGGTATCAATCTCTCAACATGCCTGGCTGACTGGCTCGTATCTGATATAAGTTTCTTTCATCTCTGAAGCTCAACTCAACACAAGCAACCCAGTTTTGGTTCCCCAAAAATTCAGAAAATCAGTCCTTAAGACTCTATTTGACTTCATGTGAGGTGGTTAATTCTATTCCACTGAATTCTTTTTTCCCCTTACATGATTCTCAACTGGTAGTTCTATAGGGAAATCATCAATATCATCAAAACCTTGTGTACCAAAATCGTTCTTCTCCATCACACGTTATAATTGATACATTCCATACCATCTTTTGACAAACATAATTGGTCGCTGACAGTCGCAAAAAAAAGGTATATGAGACAGCTCTGTGGGAGTGCCTTTACTGCTTTCGAAGATTTCAAAGTTGTGTTTGGATGAGCAACTGGATCGCGGTCATAATCATCCCAAGAGTGAAATTAAAGAGTTTTGGGATTTCAAATCTATATGTGACATTGTATTCCAGGAATCCAGATTTCACTCCGATCAGCGTATATTATGAACTGGTATAAAATAATTTGTTTTTGTTGTATCCTTTCTTTTTCAAATCCATTTGAAAATTTTCAAAATTGAGCAGCTGTCAGAATTCTTGATGTTCTTTTTGGTGCTTTTACTATATCAAATCCAACAACAGTCCATGATGAGGACTTTTGTGTCAAGCGTGACGATGTGGTGTGGCAGAAGCACATCGAGTATAAAATGGTAAGCAGAAGGAGCCCGTTTCATCCTTCATCCGCTCTTCACCACTGGCCTTTTGCCCATCCTTTTGGTTTCCAATCGCATCTAGTAAATCCATACCTTTCTTTTCTCAATAGTTCCTCACGCTATAGACCTAATATTATTACTTTTGATCGTAGTAATTTTTCCGATTCCTTCATCCCACGCTCATTAATCCTTAATCACCAAAGATGCATATCTCCTTTGCTTACCTTGGCTTTGTGCTTGCTGGTGAGTTCCTTGGTTATCGTCTGCACTCTCTTTCGAGCAAAACTGAGGTCTCATCGTGTTTGCATCGTTCTTAGCCTCCGCTGCTGCCGGTTCGCATCATTTGTAAGCCATGCATTCGGATTCCGTTTCATGAGTTGATGCTGACTTTGTCTATCTTCAGGGCAAGAACCGAAACAGTTGCTCGGTTGAGCGTTCGCAGTGAAGAACAGGCAGGCCACAAGTAAGTCTGAATCCTTCTAGCCCAGTAGAGCGATGTCTCTGACTATCACTTATACTTTTGTAGAGACGATCTCAAGATGAAGTGCTTTGGTGGCGGCTGTGGTGGTGGTCTTCCTATCCCTGGGCCCACTTCATGCTGGAATGCCCCGGTCGTCTTCCACGGCGGCGGAGGTCTACCCCCAATGAACACCTTCTTTTCAACCGTTCAAAGCTACACTGTGATCACCTCCAACACCGTCAACATCTGGAACGGTGGCCTAGACCCCCAAAGCATCTTACTTCAGTTCCAAATCATGGTGACCAGTCTTTCAACTCTGTTCTCCACCTTACAAGGCGGATGTTCCTTCCAAGGAAACCCTCAAGTGGTATGTTTTCCTTCCATTTCGCTTTCGGGAGTGCAGTTGTTTGCTAACCTATCTCATTTCTAGTTCATCTCCACTTTTGCCCCGATGATCATCCAAATACAAAGTATGATCACAATTATCACCACTCAATGTGCTGGTACTATTGCTGCCTTCCAATGTCAGTACCCGTCCTGTTTTCCTCCTTGACCCACGTGAGCTAAGGTCGGATTATAACTTACTTTTTTCCTACATTAGCCTCCTTTGCTGTTCTATCTGTTTTGGTGCAATCAATCATTGGTGTGGCCTGTAACTTCAATCCTCAACTCTGGTCACCTCTTGGCTTCCCAGTTGATAGCTGGATCCACGGAGTTCCTGGTGTGTTCCCCGGAGGTCCTGGTGTGTTCCCCGGAGGTCCTGGTGTGTTCCCCGGAGGTCCTGGTGTGTTCCCCAGAGGTCCTGGTGTGTTCCCCGGAGGTCCTGGTGTGTTCCCCGGAGGTCCTGGTGTGTTCCCCGGAGGCCCAGGTGTATTCCCCGGAGGCCCAGTTCCAGTACCTGGCGGTGTCCCAGTTCCAGTACCTGGCGGTTTCCCAGTTCCAGTACCTGGCCCCTGCTTCCGACCACTTGGTCTCCTTGGTACCTTACTCCATGTCCTCCTTGTAATCCTTGAGCCTCTCTTCCACGGCCTTGGTGCGCTCTTACAAGGTGTCGGTCTCCTCGTTGCCAATCTTGGTGCCGCTGTGGGCGGTCTTCTTGATGGCGGTCTTCTTGGTTTGATTTAGAGTCTAAATATTTCGTTCAGATTGATATTTGTGTTCCCTTTTGCAGAGGTTCTGTTTTCTGTTTTTTGGTTTAAATCATCTTTCTGGTATTCCTACCTTGTGGTCTACCTCTTGTACACTTTCTTTTGTTAGTTTGTGATACCTAAAGAATAACAATTAATGTGGCTGTATGCCTCTCTCAATAATCTCATTTGCATTCTCATTATTATGATAAGACCTCGCTCCAAGTCCCTTGTGCCAAGTCGAAAAATTCATTGACAGGTGAAAGAAATTTGAGTAAGTTTTAAAGATAATCATCCATAATCTCAATATATAAATTTCAATAAAGTTTGATTGATGAAAAATACCAAAATATGTTTTTAATTTAAGTTTCAGTCATGAAGTTTCGAGTGAAAACAAAAGTGATACACACACTTTAGAAAATTCAAAAGAAATTCTCAGGACAATACATAAACTAAAATCCATAGAAAAAAAGAAATGAAATGTGTTATGATTAGACTGAAGAAGTTCAAAATCCACTAAATAAATATCCAAAGGTGAAAATAGATGGATGAAGTTCACAACAGAACCAATCAAGAAAAGCAGGAACATCACTTTCAAGTGGAAAAGTAGAACTTCATTTCTTTGGAAGTTCGATCCCGTTCAAATCCTTAAGAATTTGTTTGAGAAACCAATTGTTGATCACGTCTTTCTGTTGTAGATCAACACTCTGAAGATTTTTTCAAGATTGATCAAGTTGCGTGGTGATGAAAAAAATGATAAGTGATGAGTTCAAAGATCTTACTTTGGTAAAAGAAATTAGTTCTCAATTGGCTGAAGATTTTTTTGTTGGATTATAATTTTGGGTTTTGAAAAAGGCTCTCAGCGTATTCACTGTTCAGGTTCATCACATTCAACCTTTTTATCTACTCTTGATTGGCTCAGGTTCATTGAATCAAAGTGGTAATTTTGTAAGGATTATTCAAACTAGATCTGGAAACTTACCCAGTATCTAGAGACCCAGGCTGAGCTATAATCACGTACTAGGAATTAATGTGTGGAAAAATTTGTGGTCAGAGGTAAACATGGAGAGGATTCAATCAGCAGCAATACATTGATTCTTGCACAATGATCACTATACCTTTTTGATTGTGTTATGGAACATCTGCAATACCAATTTCAGGGCTGCAACAAATTTGAGGGCGCAACAAATTTGAAACACAGATCCATTAACTGTGATGTGCCTTGGATACTGGTCAACATTTCAGAACTTGAGAGTTCACCGCAATGGCAGAAATTTTCATCATGTCATGAAACTTATCATTCTGATCTAAAGTGACATCTGACATACTTAAACTCCATGTTCTGACCACCTTGTTTGATTTTTGGAATTTGTAATATAAATCTTGTGAATTCTGATCAGAATTTGCTCAAGGAAACACACCCTAAGTCAATTTACAAAACCCCATTATGCTACAAGGTTGGCACAAACAACGCATTGGCTATATTTGATCAAATGTTCTGCTTGTTGATCATCAAAATCCTTACCATCTATATTTTGTCTCATTCTGCTCTTTGCTTTGTGGAGTCCCAGAACAATGTGATTGGTAATGATTATCACATTCTCTCAGAGGTGTTTTTCTTCAATGTTTTTTACTTTTTGGCAAGATCTTCAACTTTTCCTTTTGTTTCTTATTACTTTGACTCTAGCTCTCTGGCTTGATTTCTTCTACTTATTTTTAAATTTTGGAAACCATTTTCTTTTTTGACTCTAAATGACATGTCTTTTGGCTCTCTGACAGTGTGCTTCCTCCTTCACCACTCAGGTTGTGAGCACGGCAAAAAAGAACAACAATTGCCCAGTGTTCAGGAGCCTGTGGATGTACACAAAAGTCCATTCTTAAGGGAAGGGGCAGTGACAGGTGCAGATGAGGTTCACAGGTGGGACACGTGAGGCTGAGAAGCCTGACAGTTTACCACAAGTGAATTTGGAAGGTCTGGAAGTTGAGGAAAGAAATTTTTTCTCTCCGCACTTCCACATCCAAACCCCTTCCTCATCTGCTCTCAAACTGCATTAGCAAGTTGCTCTTTTTCTGACAGAACTCCTGTTATAGAAAACTCGTAAAAATACTTTGCAGAATATTAAATCCTCTTTTTCTTCGAACTACTTCAATCAACATACTATTTCTTCAAAATAAATCCGACAACTGACAGTTTCAATAACTTGTGAATGTGGAGACAGCTGAAAAAGAAGTCAATCTCAACACCCACGTATCAGTCAAAGAAAATGATGGATTTGATCAAGCAAGATGAAGAGAAGAAAAGAGCTCACGCAGAGAAGCTGAAGACGCAAGCAGAGGGAAGATCGAAGAGGGCTCACTCTTGAGTACCTCCGGGGGATGTATCTTTAATCGACCCACCATCTGGATCAAACACCGAGATCACCGGGACCCAGGTTGCTAGTGGCGAGAAGCAAGAGCTCCTGGTCCATGATGACAGCCAAGCTGGCGAGACGATGGCTCATGGAGAGGTAGATGAAGGTTCATTTGAGGAGGACCAAGACGGCAACGTAAGAGGGTCAAAGTTGGAGGAAGGAAAGGTCGGGGATAGTGGATCTTCAGGCACGGAAGAATGGGGGAGTGACGGAAGCCCGAAGAAGAAGAAGAAGAAATCATTAAGGAAGAAGAGGAACTCGAAGAAACGGAAAGGGAAAGGGAAATGTGTTACGATTGATGACTCACCGTCAGAAACCGGAAGCTCAGTGGACTTGGAGAAGTCCTATTCGTACTTGATCGAAGATGATCTTGGTAAGCAATACGATATCCTCTTTCCCAAATCCTGTCTTCTATCTTTTTTCTTCAACCTCAGCTATGGGAAGGTACCTTGCGGTCACACACCCTCTAGACTCTCTAGATTGGGAGTGCTAGGTAACCAGGGAGGGGAGCAGTAGCAGCCCTTATTCGGGCTCCAACCCCCCCGCCAACGGTAGCAGCTTTCGAGCTCCCGAACCCCTTTCGGCGCTCCCAGTACTGGTCGTAGCCCCAAAGGAGGAACCGAGTTAGGGGTAAAGGAAGATCGTCGCCCTATTTCCTATCAGGGTGTCCCACTGGGAACCGTGAAGAAAGCTGGGAGTCGATCAAGAGGAGAATAAGCCTTACTTGTGCTACCTCTTGGGTCTCCGATAGAAGAAGATCGTTGAATGACCTACAGAGCCTCTCTTTTCCTCCCCTTTATATCCGTTCTTCAACAACTCCCCTCCCATCTGGTTTCATAATTCGGGGGTTTTGGGCTGGAGTAGTAACTGATAGATGTTGGCTCTCCCCATCCTCTTGTTTGACGATAAAGCCCCATCAACCCTGGTAGACCCTCCGGGAATCCAGGTCGAGCCCAAAGGGAACAAACCCAGCGGGAAAGTTCGTGGAGGAACGAAACCAGGGAAGTCGAGTCCCCTTTTGGACCGTCTACTGTTTGCCATCGATCACGAAGACCTAGATGCTGTGAAAGCTCTCCAATCGGAGCTAAGGGAGGCCGATAAGGCAAAATCCATCGAGACAGAGAGGTTAGCCAGGGACTTGAAGGAGGCGAGACTGAGAGAGAGAGAGTCAAAGAGGGAAGAAAAGAGGAGAAGGAAGTTGATGAAGGAGAAGTTAAAGAGGAAAGAGGTCATGAACTCACTGAAAAAGAAGTTGAAGAAGAGGAAACGGATAGACCCTTTGTCAAGCTCCGATTCGAGTTCGTCCTCTCTTAGTTCAGAAGGAGAAGACAATGACTCCTCTTCCGACTCGTCCTCAGACTCAGACTCGTCCTGTGAGGGAAGGAGGAAGACCAAATCCTCGAAAGTCTCGTCAAGCTCCTCAGAGTCGTCCGACTCCTCAGACTCATCTGATTCGTCTTCCGATTCCGATTCTTCCATTCGAAAGAAGAAAGGGAAATCCAAGAAGAAGAGGAAGTTAGGCTTCGGCATGGACTCGATCTCAGGCCTAGACCTCCCGGATCTCCCAGACAACTGGGATAGAGCGTATAGGAAGTTTAAGAAATACGTACCTCTGTCCATCTTCCGTCGTTCTTATATCGCGGCCTACCACTCGGCAGTTGATGATGGTACTAAGAAATGGAAGAAAGGAGTTGATGCAACAATCTCAGAACGGGATCAGGAAAAACAAATGACTTACGGCGACTTTGTCATGGCTTGTGATCTTGAGGCTTGGTATGCTGAGGAGATTTATGGTCACAAAGGGTATGCTGGATGGATTTCGTCACACAAGGCGATAGTGAATCATCTGATGACGAAATACAAGTCTTGGATGGTGGGACTAAGGTATCATCTAGCAGTACGTGCGGTAATCTTTATAAAACGTTTGCGTATCATCTACAAGATCAAGAAGAATGGAAAGCGGGGGAAGAAGATTGAAAGGGTCGTCCTACCTAGAGGTGTAGCAAAGTTGGCCAAACAACAGGCCAGGTGGGACTGTGACACGGCTGGAGACATGAAGTTCAATGGCAACCCATACGCCCCGGGCCAACCGAAGTTTGGTTACGACTTCGCCACTGGACAACCCCATGTCACCCACACCCCTGTGGCGAGTACATCAAAGCTTCAGTCTGACGGTTATCAGAAGGATAGGGGTGAAGGAAAGAAGAAGAAGCGGGGTGGTAACAGGGGACGTACGAGTAGCTATGGTGGCTATTATCCAAACCAGAAGGTTTATAACCAGTAGCAGTCTAGCCAGTCGGGTCAAGACTGGGTCGTCCAGGGACAGCAACATGCGAGCAAGCAGGCTGGAGGACAGAAAGGGGCGAAGGGCCAGAAGAATGGAGAGAACGGGGCCTGGTAAGCTCCTCTGTTTCTCCTCCAGATTCACATTCTGGGATGGAAGGCTGACGACACACTCACTTTGCGACCTCTGCATGTCTTTCCCAACCCGCGTGGCCTCATTTTTGTCCTGGGTCGACCATGGTTGTCCTTTATCTTCACCCGGTTTCATCCATTTCTATGAATTCTGTCCATGTTCATGTTGTACGTTTCACTACCTTCGTAATTGTATTCGTTGTATCCCGATGTTGGTCTAGATCTGAGATGATAACAAGGGTGCCAAGTTGGAGTCAAATGGAAATCTTACGTTGCTCTCCACCTGTACCCCCCCCTCCTACCCATTGTGGTTGTAATGCAGATTCAGCATTCAAAAGGCATCCAAAGAAGTACCTGGAGAGCGCGTCATGCGTAACGAGGTGGCTAAGAGACGAGTAAACGCGGAAGCGACACCTGAAGGGATGGAGAGAGAGAGATTGGGTGATGAGAGCGACTCAGACTCGTCCACATTAGACTCGGTAGTAGATGAGGTGAAGACAATCTTACCTTTAAAGGACAGACAAATCTTCAAGGTGGAAGGTGTTGGCCTATGGCCAGCCCCGGTCCGGACAGAGATGGTTCTAGAGAAGTGGCGTGAGTTAATGGAGGAGACAGGTTTACATGATGACATCCCTTACATTCTCGACGGCTTTCGAGAGGGATTCTGTTTGGGAATCCCCCAACATTCACTAGGGGATCTTTGTTGGTACACTCCAGAAAACCATTCGTCGGCTAGGGAGGTGGAAAGTGAGATTGAACAGACCCTGGAGCGAGAGCTGAAGGCTGGTAGGATAGCCGGCCCATATACGCATGAAGAAGTGTACGCAAAGTACGGCTTCTTTCGATCAAACCCTATGGGAAGTGCTATAAATGGCGATGGAACGTTGAGGCTGATAAACGACCTGTCATACCCGAAGAAAGATCCAAACGTACCGTCAGTGAACTCCTTCGTGGATAAAATGAACTATGAAACTAGATGGGACGATTCTAAAACAGTAGCACACTTCCTAGCGACTCACCCAGGAGAATGGGAGATGGCACTCGTTGATTGGGCCAAGGCCTATAGGCAACTTGGAGTACACCCATCCCAACAGCGATTCTTGATTATTGTCGACTTCAAAGGACAAGTGTGGGTGGACCTAGCTGTAGGTTTTGGCGGGGTGGCCAGCTGTGGAGTCTTTGGCGCCCCAGCAGAAACTTGGAAATGGATCGTGAAGAAGAAATTAGGCTTCCCAGTGATCTTTCGTTGGGTGGACGACAACTTACTCCTCCGAAGGCCGGGTCACAGATACGCTCTGAGGGACGTAGAAATCTTGAGTCAATCAATGGGCGTCAAGACGAACCCGAAGAAGAACCGTGACTTCAAGGAGGAACAACGTTTCTTGGGGTTCGTATGGAATGGAGCAAAACACACCGTTAGGCTACCGACAGAGAAACTTCATCAGCGGAGAACACAAGTAAAGGAATTCTTAGTAGAGAGTTCGGTATGGAAACTGTCACAAGTGGATACTTTTGTTGGGAGATTGGTACACACTGTGTACATAGTTCCTCACATGGCGGCTTACCTGAGCTCCTTGCATAGATGGAAAAAGCAATGGAAAAACGGGCACGCTCTAAGGAAAGCCCCGGCGGACGTGTTGGAAGACCTGGTAGAGTGGGATAAATGCCTCACCTCGTTTGACTCGTGCCCAATAGCACCCAATCCGACTCCAGAGGAAGTGGGTTGGGTAGGGGACGCCGCCTCATCATATGGGTAAGTGTCCTACGAGTGTTACAGGTCTAGACCGCATTCTCCGTATCCTCTGTAACTGACTCTCATGTGCCGCACATTCGGGCTGGTGGTTCCTTTTCAGGATTGGAGTGCTGATCGGCGCGAGCTGGGCTTGTTTTAAATTTGTCCCAGACTGGGAGACAAAGGGACGCGCTGTAGGTGTCGGGAAAAGGAGAATCACATGGGCAGAAACCGTGGCGATTCGCCTCGGCCTGCTGGTTCTGAACAAGATCCTAAATGTGAAAGGAAGAAGGTTTGTCGTCCACACGGACAACACCACGACTGAAAACGCAATCAAGAAAAGGAAATCAAAAGACAGAGATGTCAATGACGAGTGGAAGCGAATACAGCGACTGCTGACTTACTTGAGCTGTAACGTGAAACAGAAACGTGTTTCATCAAAAAATAACAAAGCCGACGATCTGTCGAGGGGGAAAGTAGGAGACTTGTTTTGGTTCAACGAGGTTCTGGTCGATGTGCCGGAGGACCTAAGACCGTTCATAACGCAGATAACCCCCCCCTTCATCGAAGTCCAAGATGGGGCGATCGATCAACAAGAAATCGCACTCTAAAGACGATCAAGACCAAAAGACACTTAGCTTAGAGAAGATTACAAAACCGTTCGGGGCCTTTAAAAAGGACGCACTTGGGGTAGATCGCTCAGGAGTAGATGAAATCCAACGTCATTTCCTCAGAGGTGCATGGAGGGACGGAACGCTACGTCACTACAACTCAGGGGTCGTAAAGCTGCTGAGATTCGCAGAATTGAAGAAGATAGATAAGAAGCTGTTGTTGCCGATCGACGGAGACGTTTTACTTCGCTTCGTCGTATGGGGCTCGAAGAAAAATGAAAGTTTGGCAAAAGACGATGAATCGGTTAAGGCGACCACTTTAAAGTCATACATAGCAGGAGTGAAAGCTTGGCATAAGTTTCACAGGAGAGACTACCCCAACAAAGTCAACGAATCAGTCAACCTACTCTTGAAAGCTTCTCTTAAAGTGGAGTCCGACCTTGCTCTATCTCAAAGACGCCGCCCGCCAGTCCTAGTATCCGACCTCCTAACGTTGGTGAAGGTTTTGTCACCCCAAGACGAGAAAGACTTAGTACTGTTGGCCATCGCTCTGGTAGTGTTTTGGGGGACCGCGCAATTGGGAGAGTTGGTCACGGACGATCCGAAACGGCGAATTCCACAATGGAGAGACGTGAGATGGGCGCCAGACCTTTCGATTGTAACCATCGACATCCACGAAGCGAAAACAGCGAGACCTGGGGAGATACAGAAGATACAATTAGTTCGACAGAAATCTATGCTCGACCCAGTTAGAGTCCTCAAGTTGCTGTACGATTTTCGGCCAAAGAGACCCACAGATCCGGTGTTTGGCTTCGCGATTGACGGAGAGTTGTATGGATACAAGAAGAGGGTAGTGATATCGAGACTGAGAGAACTGTGGAACGAAAATAAACCTTCAGGGAGAGAATCTCTGTACGGCCACTCTTTCAGGATCGGAGGAGCGTCCTTACGATGGAATCTGGGAGCATCGAGAGAACGAATAAAGCTTAATGGCCGGTGGGCCTCGGATGCATATATGATCTACCTGAGGAAGTTTAGTGACAGAGAACTGAAAGATACGATTAAGCTGTTGAAGTCAATACGAATAGAAGAGTAGGAGTGAGGGGGAGGGGCATCTGGAGAAACAGTCTACGGGTAGGAAACTCCTCTTAGGAGGTTCTGGAGGGTAGAGTGAGAGTCTCAGAAAGCTATTTGTCTACGTAAATCTTGGCCAACATGAAAATGAATTAGAGTTTGAGCGCGATACAGTGTAGATCTGAAGTGTAGATCTGTTTATCCAAAAGCGTACAGTGGTTAGATATTCAGCGAGGGCTTCATACAGAAGCCTCAGAGCCGGCTGATCCACTTACTTCGCTTCACCAGGCTCATCTGCTGAACCGTGGTACTGACTTTTTAGTGGGTGGTTCGGGAACTGTCTTCTCTATCCATGCCGTGAGAGGTGCTAAACGTAAGGGGTGAACTACACACGAGAGCACAGAGCTGGGGGGTTCGACTTCCAAGGCTCACGATTCTTTACGCTCTCGTGAGGATTGGGGTTGAGAAGTCGAACCTTCTCAGGTCTGTTCTCGCCCCACAGGAGGTGGCCCTCGAAATGATCCTGAGATGACTTTTCGAGTGCCACCCTTCCTTTGGGGCCATCCCCACACCACAGAGGAGTATTGGGTCTGAAGTAACAGACCAGGTATTCTAATGCGGATGGACTTGCCTGAGTAGTTTCGATAACTCCACCTCAGAGGTTGGTATTACGATATTACGACATACATGTAAGTAGGACACATCTCCCCGAACCTCACCCAACTTGCCACCTCCCGACAATGAATGGATTGACATCTATTTTGATTTTAGGCATCTCTTGCAAAACCCCATGATTTCCTCATTTATCAAAGACTTGTCAATCAAGCTATGTGGACCCTAAATTACAAATCAAATGCCCGCTATAACTTTAGAATATTTGAGAGTTTCCTCTTTCACATATCCATATTAGGAAGGGAAAGTCCTCTGTATGGAATTACTTCTAAGTCCATGATGCCTCAATATGGTTAGGTGATTCTGGAAGGAGTGAATCAACAATTGCCACATTTTTGTGTGGGTATGTCAAAAGAAGATGAGGGTATCAGAAAAACATATTGGTGGATTTTGGGGGAACTTGTCCTCCACAAGAAATGAGACCTTTATACTGGCTTTGGCTTTCAAAAATTTACAACTGAAGAATTTTTAATTTGTCTTTTTCATAAGCATGTGATACATGTCATAACACCACAAGAATTGATCTGTTTGAGCCCCAATTTGGGAAAGTTGTGGTGTCAAAGTCTTCAACTTCCTTAAATCAAAGATCTTGTTCACATTATGTCCACAATGAGTTCCCAGATTACTCTTGAGCTGGCCTGTCTATTTTCTGTAGGTATAAAGGATATATACATACTCAATAGTCCCTTACAAAGAATCAGCTAGCTTTGATCTCATTCTCATCTTTGGCTCCATGCTCACTGGTACAGCTGGAAAAACATTTGCATCAAAGCAATTCAAGCCGGTGAGCTGTTCCTTCATGTGCTATATCATATATGCTACAGCCTGGTATAGCTTGAGGGTAACATGTACACCTATTGTGAACAAAATCCACAATTGCCAGAAGTTGCGGACTTGGACACCTCAACCTTCCTCAATTGTTTGAAAAAATTGACTCCCATGGTGTAAGTTATTGCCCACTTTTCATTGAGATACATACACCCATAATGATACATGCAATAACTGAATGCAATTCCAACCCCCCCATCTTCCTCAGAAGCTTGCTCATCATCAGCTGATTTTTTTATAAAAGATTATCTGTTCATATGGTATAAATATTGAAACATGTATCCCAAGGCCATTTGCTGCTGAAGATTTGTCTCATTCACCTTTTAACACCTCTCAAAAGATTGGAACTATATTCAAAATTTCAAGGGCCTATTGATTTTTTTGAGAATTCAAACCTTCAAGTGGTTTAATCTTAGCCATTATACTGGTTATGGGAAATCTATCAAGCTCTAAAAAAATTCCTCATCGTGTGCCACATATGTGACCTGAAAGATCTGGGCGCCTCCAGATAGTTCTCGCAAAGATTGTTACACACCCCTCTTCTGAAGACTTCTGGTGTTTTATTTGTGACCTTCAAACTTGTTTGAAAACCTGTTCTTGGTAAATTTTCAAAGGAAAGAGTTTTTCAGTTATATTGTTGAGCAATCATACAATCTTAAAATTTGCAAGGATTTTGTCAGATAGCAAATTGTCAAGGGAAACCAAAGCCTTGGCAAGTAATCATCTCTGTTGTGATTTTATAACACAGCTCCTCGTCATTCATAGGCAGGATATGTATTGATATGTCACACTGACAGAGAAGGATACTAGGTATATTTTAGATGTATATATCTCTACATATTTTTACAAAACTTTGGATCATATTGTTATGTGATTATCTATATTGGTCCCAAGTTCCCCTCATTTCTGCCTACTTATCCAGCCCTCTGGATATGTCTTTCTTTACTGGGATGTCACTTGGAATCATATTTGTAAGCTTCAACTAGTCATTTGAGAAGCTTCCTGTTGCACACTTCTTGCTTCACATCCTATCATATACCAGTCAGAAGGGGTTGATGTGCTATCAGAACCTAGCATTTGCTGACAAATTTCCTAGAAAGAAGATCCCCAAAATTTCATAATTGACAAATCAAAGTTCAATCACTTACTAAGATGAAACAAAGCAACTTGCTGATGAATATATATGCAAAGGATATGCACAAGAATTTGGATAATTTAAAGGTCAGCCCAGATTTTTTTGCATTGGTAAAGGACAGCACACCATTCTCTGGAGGTACCATGGAAATACTTCTGAGGCCCTCAAGAAAATTTGGTATGTTGGAGACTAGAACATTTCCTTCCCAACACTTGTGCGCCTTATAAATTAGCATTAAAAATTCAAAACTTGTGTCAAGTTCAACATAAAAGGAGATATTTTTTTTGAGATATCATATCAGTTTATATCCAAAAGTTTAGACTTGTTCTTTCAAACCCCTCAAGACCTTTGATTTGGCACTGACAAGTTGTGATTTCAACATCACAAAGACCCTGCAGGCACTAAATTTTTGGCAAATACCATACATGAAAGAGCTTTGAATTTCATGACAAGTTAGATTTTAAGGGAGGAATCAGTTAAACTCAAAAACATCAACGGATGGTCAATTTTGTAAATCAGAAGAGACAGAATTCCATTATATGTATTTCATGGTGTTCGAAAAGAATTTGAAAATGGCTGAGTATAAATTTTGATCTATCCCAATCAAAAAGATCATCTGAGACCCACGTGTAGGGCTTCTACAGATATCAAGTTGAAGTCCTTCGTTTCCTCTAGATTTCTTGTAGCCAACCATTTTCAGCTAATATCAATTTCAAATTCAGTGAGAAGATTGTGCAATATGATCAAGCAATTCTCTGGACGAGTTGTTGCCCACATGAATCTTTTAATCAATAGTAAGCTATCGAAGACCTCTTTCATGTCAGTCTCTGACTCATTGAGTTATGTTCTCAACACTCTAGATCAATCAGTATGCTTCATCCAATTTCTAAAATTAGCAAAAATGGACTTGATCCTTGACCCAATATGTACTTCTTGGAAAACGAAAACATTTTTTCCTTAGTCACAACTCAAGAATATGGTATATACACCAAGATCAAATAGAGGAGAGAACTGATAAAAGGTGTACAAATCATCTACTTCTTGACCGAAATTTGAATCTATATATCCTTGATTTGTTAGGTATTAGAATTAGTCTAATAACAAATAAGAGCTTAATTCAAAAGTATACTCATCTTTTATCGATATAGAGCAAAACAAAGAAAGAGAAAGAATTTTGGTTCTTCAAGGTTTTGATTCATAAGCTGCTGAATGAATTTTAACACTTCTACCACTTGGATCTGAATCACAACCCCAATCAGCTCTAGGAATCCATCTAACTGCAGTCTTTGCTGCAGCTTCACTTGGAAAATGTTCTATTGGAAAAAAAAACAGAAAAAAAGGTCAGTCATTGATAACCGATCAAACTCTTAATTTTGTTTAAAAAAGTTGGACTTACTTTCAAAGATTTCTCGAATTAAATAAGCTTCTTTAGTTTCAGGTGTATCAATTGACCAACGTTGAGCAGCTTTAGTAAGTTGGTCATCTCGAATAGTTTGTTCTGCATGAGCTTTTAATCCATCGATCCATGAATATCCAACTCCATCTGAAAATTGTTCTTTTTGACGCCATAAGATTTCATCAGGTAAGAAAGGTTTTTCACCTGGACTAGAATCAAATGCTTTACGTAAGATATACTGAAAGAAACCAAAAATCAGTAAGTTTGAGAGATAGTTTGGTTTTGAAAAGATTTCTGATCGATTACCTTTTCCATGATCGGTCTTCCATCACTATCAAGAGTTTGATTGGCACCCTTTCCAAATTGTTTATCTTCAGGTCTAATATTGAGACATAATTCCAAAAATTCTTTATCCAAGAAAGGAACTCTAGCTTCAAGTCCCCAAGCCATAGTAGACTTATTAGCCCGTAAACAATCAGAAGTGTGTAAGTTTTTCACCCGTTTGATAGTTTCTTGATAAAAACTTAATTGATCCGGTGCTTGACTAAAGTAAAGATAACCACCAAAAATTTCATCTGATCCTTCACCAGATAAAACCATTTTGACTCCCATTGATTTAATCTTTCTTGATAATAAATACATTGGGGTTGAAGCTCTAACAGTAGTAACATCATAAGTTTCTAAATGATAAATCACATCTGAAATCGCGTCTAATCCTTCTTGAACTGTAAATGTAAACTCATGATGTACTGTTTTCAAGAATTTAGCTACAGTTCTAGCTGCGATCAAATCAGGTGCATTCGGTAATCCTACAGAGAAGGAGTGTAATCGTGGCCAAGAAGTAAGATTAGATTCAGATCTAAGAGACGAAGCATCTACACCCGGCATTGAACTTGTGATAGATTCTTGAGATTCATTGGTTTGATTATATATGCTACTAGGTTGAGATTTAGCCGAAGTAGGTTGAATTGGACTGTTAGAATCAGTTTCGAGAGCAGTAGCGAATTGTAATGATTGAGCTTCGTTAACTTTACGAATTTCTTGAGCTGCAATAGCTGCAATTAAACTACTATCTAATCCACCACTAAGCAAAACACCAAATGGTACTTCACTCATTAAACGTTTTTTAACAGATTGTTCTAGAACTGATCGGATTTTAGAGAAATTGACAGGTTGAGCTTGAGATAAAAGACTTGAATCTAAGTCTCCATTTAACCAACTAGGTTGATAATATCTGACTAATTTATCGGTTGAAGTTAATTCTGAATCATAAAAATGTCCAGGTGGAAAGGCGCTTAATTGATCACAGTGTTCATGTATAGCTTTGAGTTCTGAAGCAATATAAATCGTTTCGGGTTGGCTACTGTGAGTTCCATAGTATAGGGTTGTTATGCCGATCGGATCACGTGCTACGATCAATCTTGGTGGTTGTTTGGTGGTATCGAGTAAGATGAATGAAAACATTCCATCTAACATGTTGCATAAATCAGTACCATATTCGTTATACTAAAATTAATCCCATTTCCATTGATCAAACAGACCACACGTAAAAAAAATGGTAAAGAAAGTTGAATGTTAGTCATAACGAGATTTTGAGCTTTTGTTTCAATATATTGAAGAAAATAACAAACCAAATGTAAAATAATTTCGCAATCTGACTTTGGTTTTGTTTTCAAAGGTGTCTTCAACTTCTTAGTAAGTGCTTTATGATTATAAATTTCACCATTCACACATAATGCAATCTTTCCATTTTCGCTAACCAAAGGTTGTTCACCAGTTTCTACAAATTTCAAAACAATAGATAATCAATATTTGATCAAAATAGAATTTAGTTTTTTTTGTGGGGAGAGGGAGAATGCTTACCTATTCCTACGATTGCTAATCTTTCATGAACTAAAACAGATTGATTACCAATAAAACATCCAGACCAATCTGGACCACGATGTCTTAATTTTTTAGATAACTCTAATGCTTTATATCTAAATTGTTTAATATCTCCTTGAACATTATGAACACCAAAGATTCCACCTGTTTATCAATATTTTGAAACTTTGGATCAGCTTAAACCTCAAGGTATGATAGATTTAAAAAATGAGAGGTACTAACACATTTTGTCGTAGTTCTAATCGCTTGATGGTAGTTGGTTGGGTTGATGAAAATTTTGTAAAAGGTTGCTATGGAGGAAAAAACACTTGGACACGTGAAATTGGAAATGCAAGAGACGAAAACAAGAAAAATGCATTAAATCAAACGACATTGTGATTTAATGCACAACTCATTAGGTTTCACACTTTATCAAACCAATCGAAACATATTCACCATTCACCATTCAACATCACCCTCACCCTCACCATCGAATAGAACATCAAGAAGAAAACAAAAACACACAATCATTCAATCAGAATAAACAAATAGAATCGAGTCTCATCAAAATACAAATACTTTCACCATTCAAACCTAATCAAAATGCCATCGTAAGTGTTGTTCTTTTTCAGTGTTTCAAAATCAAAGACAAATATTCTAAAACTACATTCGCTTGAATCTTCAGGGAATTCGAAGATGTCTTAACAAATCAACCTATTGTCATCGATAATGTCAGTTTACAAAAAACAGATTTAGAAAACAAGTGATGTTTTGATTAAATTGAAATTTTTGGTTTGAATGATATTATATAGGGATCTGGTACAATAAAAGCAGGTTTCGCAGGTCAAGACCATCCGAAATGTTTTTTTCCATCCTAGTAAGCCTTTCACACCTCCTCAAACAAGACTTCTCAATCAAATCAGGATTTGTTTTGGTTAATTTGCTTTATGATGAATTTGAATTTTATGGGAAGAAAAGTGTAGGACGTCCAAAACATGTAAGAGTGATGGCAGGTTCAATAGAAGGTGAAATGTTCATAGGCAAAAAGGCACAAGAATTAAAAGGTTTACTTAAAATTAATTATCCAATCGAACATGGAATTGTAAATGATTGGGATGATATGGAACGGATTTGGAGTTATGTTTATCAAACTGAATTAGAAACTGCATCTGAAGAAGTATGTTCAATTCTTTCGATTCTGTTGGTTCTTCCGTTGACCATACTCATTAACGTTTTTTTGGTGGTTTTCTTTTTTAGCATCCTGTTTTACTTACTGAAGCTCCACTTAATCCTTCACATAATCGAGACCAAGCAGCACAGATCTTTTTCGAAACTTTTAACGTACCAGCACTTTTCACATCAGTTCAAGCTGTTCTCTCACTGTAAATCCTCACTTTCAATCTTCATAAATTTCTCAATTCGAAAAGACGTTCGTTGATTTATGAATTTGTTTGTTTGCTTGATCAAAAAAAGGTATGCATCAGGAAGGACAACAGGAATAGTATTAGATTCAGGTGATGGAGTCACTCATTCAGTACCAGTTTATGAAGGTTTTTCAATCCCACATTCGATTAGAAGGATCGACTTAGCTGGTCGTGATATAACAAATCAATTACAACTTTTATTACGTAAATCGGGTTATAATTTCTTAACAAGTTCTGAAAAAGAAATTGTAAGAATTATGAAGGAAAAAACATGTTATGTTGCACTGAATCCGATCAAGGAAGAAAAAGATCATCATCATGTTGTTGGAGCGGGTGGGGGTGGTGGAGGTGCTGGCGGAGGAGGTGGCGGCGCTGGTGGGGGTGGCGGCGCTGGAGCTGGTGGGATTGGTGCTAGTGGTGGTGGTGGGGCTGGAGGTGGTGGTGGGACTAGTGGTAGTGGTGGTGCGGGATTAGGTAGAGGAGAAGATTTCAAACTACCTGATGGTAGTGTAGTACGCGTAAGTTGACTTTTTTACGCGTCTTGAAGATCGTCTATTTCGCTTGAACAAAAAACTGACACGAGATTTTTGTTTTACAATTACGGAAACTTTAGCTTGGACCCGAAAGGTTTAGATCAACTGAAATTTTGTTCAATCCAGAATTAATTGGAGAGGAATATATGGGCATCCATCAAGTAGTAGTAGATTCGATTAATCGTACAGATCTAGATTTAAGAAAACATTTATTTCATAATATCATCTTAAGTGGTGGGACTACTCTTTGTAAAGGATTTGGTGATAGATTATTATTTGAGATTAAAAAATTAGCTATGAAAGATGTCAAAGTTGAGTATCACGGTTTCCGTTTTTTTTCTTTGAATTGATTGCATTTGAGGGCTTTGAAAAATTGATGATGATTTTTTTTGTAGATCAAAATTTATGCTCCTCCTGAAAGAAAATATTCGACTTGGATTGGTGGTAGTATCTTGGCTGGTTTGAATACTTTCAAAAAGGTACAGTTTTGTTGAATTTTCTAATAAGAAAATTCTCTAGCTAGATTTTGATGTTTTTGTTTCGATTCGGATTTGATTATAGATGTGGGTCTCAGCAGAAGAATATCAAGAAGATCCAGATATTAGTTAGTAGGTTGTTGTTTTAATCTTAGATCAAATGGATAAATTGAACTGATGATCTCTTATTCTCTAATCTATTGCACACACAAAAAAATCAAGTTCATCGGAAATCTTTTTAAGTTGTTTATTAATTTTCACTTTGGAATGGATTTTGGTGTCTGATTTGGATAGGATTTTGGTTTGGATGTTGTGTAAGAGGAGAATGATTGTAATAAAGTATGAAAAGATTGATCTTGATTGGGTTACGGTTGAGAGTATGATTGGTGAGAACTTGATAAGATTAGGTTTTGAGTGAGTTGGATCTTCTGATTTGAGTTTATCTTTCGGATAGAAAGAAGTTCTGGTGTAGATTATTATCTTGATCAGTGACTCTCAACGGACCTGGTCATGAGGCACAGGCCGAAAGTCAAGTCGAGTGAGATTAGGACTATTGCCCACAAAACTCGGGTGGATTGGCGTGAAAGGGATTCCAAGCTTTGTGAAATTGAGTGTACTCGCTTTCACACTTTCCAGCTGGTTGATTTGGCTACTCTTGACACGTTGCGTGCACACTGTTAGGAAAAAGCAATGTGGACTCATCAATCTCATCATCCTGTTCACAACAGCGCTGTGGATCAAATTGATGATCATGTCCTACGAATAGCGGCTGTGAGACGAGCGAGGCTTTCAACTTTTGAGTCATCATTCACAAAAAATGCCGAGTGATACCCTGCTGCAAATATCAGTCCAGGTAGACTTCACGATTGTAATCCTAAAGCGTTTCACATTTCACCCAATCTACCTCCTGCCCCCAAAAGTTGCTTGATAACCTTTTCCTTGCGTCTTGTCTTATGGTTCCGCGACCCTGACATGTATAGTAATTTACGGTTGGTATTGATACTTTTTCTTCGTATACTTTATCCACATCATCTCGTTATCGCTGATTCGTGATCTTTGATTTCATCAACCTGAAATGATACCTTCAAAAGTAAATCAGGTCTCTAATCTTGATTTATTCATCTATGTTTCCGTGAGACCTCTCATTCGGTGTTCGTATTGTTACAAGATACTTATTTTAACATTTTATCTTTTCATACAGACAGTTCAAAGCGATCTGTGTTTCATCATTCAAACAACATGTCATCAATTCGCTGGACTCTACTTTTCTTATGTTTGTTGTTCAAACTTTCCACCATCTCTTCGGCCTCTACTTCAAAGCTTTCTCAAAGAGACCTTCGACCTCGAATGATGGGGCGTGGTCTGGGTGACGCAAGCGAAAAAGGTGCCGATGATGCGGCACGTCTTCCAAATATGGCGTCAGGTAGTTTTCGATCTTCCGGTGGTGGTGCTTCCAGTCCAAGCAGCGATGCGATGTCAGGTGGGGAATGCGGGAAGTATACAATCGTCAGGTTAGTTTCATTCCCGATTTTTTCCTTTGTCGTTCGGTCTAGGCCTTTGATGTATATATATCTTTGAAATTGTTTTAACACATAGCGCCAGAGGAACAAGTGAAGAGCAAGAGAACCCTAAGGGATATGCTGGCTTTATCAAAGGTCTCATGAAGCAAGTACCAGGAGGAGCCAATTATGAAGTTGTCTATCCAGCCACAACCGATTATTTGCACGGACCGCAGCAAGGTGCAACTGACGCGATGGAATACATCCAGGAGCAAATGTCAAAATGCCCTTCTCAGGAACTAGTTTTGCTCGGATATTCAGAGGGTGCAATGGTAATAATTCAATTATTGGCCCTGCAAGATTTTCCAGCAGAATCTGTCTCTTCAATTATCATGTATGGTAATCCTTATTGGCAAGCAGGAAAATCTTGGAATTATGGAACAGCGGTGAGTAATTTAATATAATATTAAAAAAGGAATCATAAAAGTTTGAAATTGATTACTTTTGATCTAACAGAAATCTGGAAAAGGTATTGCATCCGCCACTGGAATTAAGCTTCCTCCCGCTTTTGGACCAATAACGCAAGATATCTGTCTGGATGGTGACATCGTATGCACCAGCTCTGGTGGAATGAAAGTACATTTTAAATATCCTGGCAGTCAGTACGAGAAAGATGCAGTCGCATTCTCCGCCGACATGTTTGGTGAGGGTGATCCACCCACGCCTGATGCATCGGATGGTGGTGGTGTCGGCCCGAGAGAAGGTGTCGGTGAGTGTTGGTGAGGGCAAGGCTGTGGGTGGGATGAAAATGAGGTGCATGAGGAGGTGAGACGCGAAGATTTACAAATGATGGTGTAATGAGCATCCCCGTATCTCAACTATTTTCCTGTAAAGCTTCTCCTTCACTATCAGTATGTACCTTCCTTTCCGGAGTTTCTCCTTCTTTAGCTTGGTACTTCGTGCTCAAATATATATACATTTTGACACCAAAGTTTTTTTCTTCCACATCAATTCTATTGTTCCTGCTAGTCTATTTTTTGAGTCAATCTAGTCATTATTCAGGCTTAGACCAATATTATGCTCGTGCTGAAAATTGACAGTTAGTCACAAGCCCCTCTGCTAGAAGGATTTGATGATAGATCGTACAGCCGTTGTGAGAATCATCGGTAATTTTTTTTTCTTTTGTGTTGTGTCGAGTTTTAATCAAAATGTGGCAAAAACTAAAAAAAACATTTTTCTCTTTTTGGACCATGCGTACCGTGAGGTAATACTGTTTCCATTGACATTTCGGCTCTCACAGTTTTCGCAAATACAGTTTCGAAGCCCTTTTTCGAAACCCTTTGTACATACTATACAAAGGGTTTCGATCTCCATTTAGTTTTCAATTTCCCTCTCTCCCACTTTCAATTTCCCTCTCTCCTACTTTCAATTTCACCTTTTCCCTCCCCTTGTCCATCAAGATTTTAATTTCACCTTTTTTATTACCTTTTTTGGCTTTGGATCATACTCGGAAATTCTTTCTTATTCGTCTCATATCAACAATACAACGAATCTTCTTCTACCTCGTTCCAAAGAACATCTCATTTTCGAAGGAATCTCTCAATTTCATTATCAACATGCCGAAAACCTTGTACAGCACGGACATCAAGTTGATGGTTTTACGGATGGTCTTGCGAGGAATGACGTTCCCCGAAATCGTACGGTCCACTGGAATTGATTTGTCACTTACGACAGTCCGTCGTTGGTTCGAACTTTATCGAACAACTCGGGCAGTGGTCACCAACCCTTTGGACCTGATGCAACCCGGCGCGCCTTCTGCTCTAGGAGACCCTGAGAAAGATTTTGTTTTGGAAGCCCTGGAACTCGATCCAACCCTTTATCTCGACGAACTTCAGGCCAAAATTCGTGATACTTTTGGAAGGAATGTATCTCTGAAGACTCTCTCAACGGAACTACGATCTCGTCTTTCTTGGACTCGTAAAAAGTCCCGCACGGTCCATCCCAACCAGTCTGCAATAGCTTGAGGTGCTTATATCGAAGAGATTTCCCAGATAGATCCTCGGTGCCTTGTCTTTGTTGGTAAGCCTGATCTGATTACTGTGATCTCAAATTGATCACTTGTGCTAACTTGGTTCTGTTGGGTAGATGAGACTGCTATCTCCAAACATAGATTATATCGAACGCACGCACGGGCTCCTCTGGGTCAACGCACACCTCGCCTCCAGAGGCCAACTCAGGCTTTTCGATGGTCAGCATTGCCTGGGATCTCAATGGATGGCATTGTAGCCATGTCTGTACAAGCGGGAGGCTACACAAGGTTGGATTTTGAGTCGTTCCTGGAACACGACTTGGTATGTTCTTTTGGGTATATTTATTTCTTTTGGATGACATTACTGAGTATGATTTGTCCCTTTCCGTAACAGCTACCTGCCATGAACCCGTTCCCAGCTCGGAACAGTGTTCTGGTCATGGACAACGCGCCTATCCACCACGGCGGGAGAGTGGAAGAACTCTGTGCCGCACGTGGTGTGAGGCTCGTTTATCTACCTGCCTACTCCCCCAATTTCAACCCTATTGAAAAGGGGTTCTCGGTTCTTAAGTCGAGACTTCGACGCTCTCAGGTCTTGCAGCAGGCTTTGGCTGCAGAAGACGAGAGAGAGGCCCTCTTTATTGCTTGTATGGACCTATTCACGGAAGAAATGTGTGAAGGCTTCTTTAGAGGAAGTGGTTATGTGTAACGACTCATAAATTTAAATTCAATTTCAAAATTAAATTGATTGAATCTCTCTCATCAAATCATCGATTCAAAATTACTTGGTTTACTTCAAATCCCATTTTTCCTCTTTCTCCTGCTACTTCAACACGTGCAACGACTCAATCTCAATATTTATTTAGGAATTCTGATTTCATACAGATAGTGTCAGGGTAATGGTGAAAGCACGAATAGTTTATTTATTGAGTACTTATAATAATACACGGGTACAAATTCCATCTTGAGTGTTTTCGAATATTGTGAATATCAATATACATGGTAGATTCACGCTGAAGAAAGAAAAAATTACAACAAAGGTCTGGGTTATCATCTGATAAATGAAAAGTAGGCTACAGATTTCAAAATTCTACAAGGTTTCTTTGGCTCGTTTAGTTTTGCTTTGACTGCGTTTATCTAAATAATGGATTAAAATTTTGTCTAGTACAGCTCAACATATTTATCAAATCAGTTGAAAAGTTGAAAGTTTTACAAGTATGGTTGAACTCGGTTTTTTTTGCTTTGATTTGAGCTTGGACTTTGTTTAACCAATGATATGAAAAAGAAAAATTTTGTCTACTTTTAAGTTTGTTTGCCTCGTTTTGTTTTTCTGTCAGTGTTTTGTGCAAATAATCAATATGATACAAGGTTTGATTTGCTCGCGCTCATGAAAAGATATCATGATCATTTCTTACTCTATAAGCTATTCATCTGATAGAGTAAGATAGTCAGATGATATTCATCTTATAGAGGAAGAAAGTAAGATGATAGCTGTCAGTATTTTGTGCAAGCGAGTATGGAAAAAAAACTTGCTTGCATTTGATCGCTCTCATGACCAGGTATCATGAGGTATAGATACAGGTCACTTTCAATTTTTCCACAAGTGATTTACCCACGAGTGTTGATTTGCAGGATGATTTGATATCGAAAGTTATCCTATCCATTTGAGATGGTTTTTAATGATCATCAATCGGACATTCTCTCAATGGAAAGAAGTTGGAGATACACGTTCACAGAAATCGTCTCAAGTGGCTCATGTGGATTGAATCTCAAGTGACTCATGTGGTTTGAATGGCAAGTAAGATCAATATTTTTACTATTCAATATATTGATCTTTACGAGATCATACAAATATGGAGCAGCAAGTTAAAAAAAAACATCTGCGACATCATACAAAGATGGAGCAGCGGTTAAAAAAACAAATTGCCTCTGCGACATCACACAATGAAGGAGCAGCGTTTACAAAGATACCATGACTCAAGGGGCAGCAATTACAATGATATCATAATTACTCAAGAGCGAAGGGGAAAAAGCTTGATTGGACATGTTAGTACTCTGGGGAAGCAGGACGAGGGCTTGACACATCGGAATTGCCAGAATCTTCATCTTGAAGCTCATCGACATCCTTCTTGAGTTCGTTTACACGTTCCATGGCTTCGCTGACAAGATGAGAAGCCAGAGCAGGGTGCATGCCACGTGAGGTAAGTGAAGATTCGGTGAACTGGTGACTAGGTAACAAGTCAGTCCATGACTTGACGCCGGCACGCTCGAGGATCATTCGGGTAGTCTCGTCGTTTTGTGGAACATTGCAAAGAATTAGAAATCGCTCTAAAGCTTCAGCATGAGCTTGTTGGTTGTCTTCTTGGACGCCAGGTGTGTTGGATCGAAAGATCTTATAATCTACAGAAGAGAGCGGACTCAGGTATTGGTCAGTCCAGGGTATATATAAAGCAAAGGTTGTATAATAAATGTATATACCTGATTGCTGTTGTAATTCATTCTTCGACTCTTGAGATGAGTCAATGTGGCTAGGTGTTGGGGGATCGGATGATATGACAATCGTTACACCCTTGGAGCCTGAGCCTAAGGATACGGTCAAGACCCAAAAAATCAGTGACAACCCTCCAAAACGTTAGGCAGTTTGGATAATGAAATACCACGTTACCTGACTCAATACCGCAATCGCTACGCTCCGCTCAGGATTTTGGCATATCCTCGGAGCGGAGCGTAGCCCTGCGCTCTATTACACTACGCACAAAATCGCTTTTTTTATATTTTTTTTCAACTCGAGGGTGCGTAGTGGTGAAACCACTACGCTCATCGCTCAAGAGCGGCGCACATAGCCTTAAAATTGACCGAGGACCGAGTTCAAATAATTTTTTGTAAAGACAAAATAATCTTGTATAACTATGTATCATGTATAACAGAGAAAATAAAGGACCCTACTTCTTTTTCTTTACCAAGCTTTCAATATACGCTTGAAGAGCCATTGAGGCTTCTTCAAAATCTCCACCTGGGATCATGCCTTCCTTCATCCAGGCTTGGCAACCTACCAGACGCTCCATGGTCTTTGGTAGCATTCCTCCACGTGACGGGGTACAAATATCGGCCGCGGCGGAGAACGTACGCTCACACGCACATGAGGTCGCAGAGACTGACAGGTAATCACGAGCCAACTGGGCGAGAATTGGGAAATGATGTTCGTGTTTCTGTCATTGCAAAGAACTTGTTAGTGAGTTGAAAATGCAATGAGTGACAGTAAATAAATGCAAAAGACTCACCCTCCACCAATCAAGAGGGCTTTGATCTTTACTGATCGGGTATTTCCCTTGCAAATAGTCCTCGAGTTCCGAACTAGATGGCTTTTCAGTCGTCGTGGTGTTAGAAGCTCCAAAGATATCGAATTCGTCAGGCTCGTTGTTTGCATGATTGTCATCATTAGGTGATGGTGTGGCCTCTCGATTGTTGGTTTCCTCCAATAGCGTTTGGAAAGTCGTTTCGATGGCGTGATTTGCAGAATCTTCATGTTCAGGATAGTGGACAGAAAAAAATTTGCCCCAAAACCAAGGGTTCAGGACTGTCGCAAGGGTAATGCACTCAGTGCTGACCGACTCTTCCTGATACTTGCCAAGCCATTTGAGCATCTCATCAATCGCTTTGACAAGGCTTGCAAATTCGTGAGCTTCTGATTGATGAATCTTGAGCTCCTTGATAACTTGTTTGTACTCGGCTAGGACGATACATCCAGTTGGGCCATTGCCTTCCACTTGGGCAGTTGCGTCGACAAATGTCTAATTTATACAAATAACAGTGGATTAGTATATTGTCAAAGGTCGAGTTACAAGAGAGGATTTACCTTTAAAACCTTGTTCACCAATTCCACTGCATGCCATTCAGCAGGTGAGATGGTGACCCCCTTAAAAAAAGCTGCCTTGCGATCAGCAGCAAGCATGGAGTTGATCACCTGTAAAATTTCGAAATTAGTTAGACGTCACAAGAGACAAAGCATGGAGAAAAATTAAAGAGTATTTAACTCCTGTGCGTCGCAAGCCACCTTTCGGCTTTCGTAGTGACTGTTCCAGCGTGTCTTGCAAGGGCGCTTGAGCATGCGCCCTTTGCAACCCAACCGAGTTGAACGCAACTTGAAGTCGGATCGCCTGGCCGCACTACTGGCGATCTGACCACTGACTGTGTCAACCTGCAAGCATTCAAAGATTTACATTCAGCAAAGACATATAGTTGAAATGAATAAAACTTATATAGAAATACTCACTTTGGCAAGGGCCAGTGCGACCACATCATCCTTCTCACACGGTTCACCGGAAATTTCCATTCCCTCATTAGTAAGCTCGTCATCTACACCATCGGGCTTTTCAGGTAGGTCCTCGTCGTCGTCATCGGATTCGTCCTGGTCGATCTCAACCTCATCCTCGCCGTCATTCACCTCAAGGACCGGAATAGGGGCGGGCTGGTTGTGTGGGATACAAGGCTTGGCGATGTTGACCTTCTGACCAAGTGCTTTCAGACCATGCCCAACCGTGAGGTTGAGTTTATGGGCATAGCATCGAACGTGGTGGCCAGATGCTTGCCAGAATATTGGATCTTCTGCTTTTCCAAACATCGCCTGCATCTCTGCAGCCATAGGTGCATTGTTACTGCCACTGTCCGTGGTCTGAGCTAGCATGTAAGAGACATTTAAAACAATAAATTAGCAAAATTTAATATAGTGAGAATAAAAACAAGCTTATCTTCTTATGAAGTCCGTGACAAGTCAGGAACTTTCCTATTGGTTTTGCTAGAAGGGCACCAAAGTGCCTCCAAGCGACCATTTTGAGAGTTAGATGTGTCGATTTATAGTTCCAATCATCGTCGATATAGTTTGTGGACGCTCCGATAAAGGTGTATGTGTTGCCTTTTGTTGTCCAGACATTGTGTACCAAACAGAACTTCCCCCTATTAGTCTATTTTCATTTGGGAGTGAACGATGATATCAGTATAAGAGTTGAATATGAAACACAAGAGGAGAGATGAGAATGAATGAGAAGGGAATCTGACCTTAACTGCATTTATTGCCTGTTCATGTAATCCAGAATAAAGTATAACCGATTGCTGTGCTGCCCAGGTTCTTGATCAAACCTTGGCATCACGATTTACACCATAGAAAGCCGCCCGAAGGGCGGGATCCTCGAACCTAGCCCAAGGAAGAGCATGTCGGACCACCCAAAGAACCAGTATCATGTTTATCAAGTCGGCTGAGAAAGTTGGTCCTTGGAAATAAGATGTTAAAGTACTGTTCTTCTGAGATTCTTCTTCGATTGTCTCCAAATAGGTTGGAGGAAGTTTCACTCCTGCCGCAATCGCTTTGTGCCGCATCTTGCAGACAGGTCAACTTTCTTTGCCGTCGCGGTGACCCCATAATCCGAAATATGAGGTTTTCCCCTTACTATAGGTACCATAACACCACCGACACTGGTATTTGAGACCCTACACAGGAAAAAAAGTCAGTGATACTTTAAAAAATTAGGATGACATGATCAAATAAGAAAAATTACCTTAGGCGGGTAGAAGTATTTGAGGAGTTCCCTCACATTGCTACTCTGAGCCTCATTATAGCCCAACTCGCCCTTTGACCCAACGATCTCGACGTCTGACTCTTGCGACAAGTCACAGCCGTCAGGAACCTCGAAGTCCTAAAGGAAACATGAATAGTACGATCTTAGAAGATGACAGAGAAAGAGATAGATTCGATATGAAAGAACTAGTAGCAGGAACTCACATTCATTTTGGTTTTCTTGACCAAAGGCGAGTTTCCTTTCAACGGGCTACCCGATGGCGATCAGGCACGTTTGCTGCTGGACGAACGACTCTAGAAACAGCAATTGAATTAAAAAGTCAGCTCTGGAACTTGTATCTGATTGGATGTGATCATAGATATGTTTGAAAATGTGACCTACCTTTCCTTTGGAAGTTGGCTTAGCCTTTGGAGCAACTTCCTTTGATTTTTTAGTTGGAGTCGGGGGTCGTGGGGAAGCAGGTCGATGGGAAAGTGCAGTAGAGACTGAGTCATCTTCAGTACTTGGTGATGCAGCTATACTGATGGTAATACGTGAATCTTTTGGTGATCTAATAAAGCCTTGTTGGGATCGAGCCGGGCTGGGTGGTCGAAGAGTTCGACTCAACGACCTACCTGGTACCTGGAGGCTACTTGAAGTTGAAGCGAGAGAAGATGATTTTGATATGGGCATGGTAAAGATTTGTCAATATTCAATTCAAAGAAAAAGAAAAAGACGATGAAACAAGAGGGAAGATGAAGAAGATGAAGTTTTTGCAAAACAAGAGGGTACTTACTACCTGGTGGCATTGACAAATCCTCTGCAGTACCAACCACAGGCCAGCCATTGGTCAAAGTTTATCCAGGGGGTCGACAGATTGGTTCGAAAGGAGGTCCTTGCGCCTTCGCCACCGTCCATTGAGAGTTTTGAGTGATGTACGACGGAGAATGCTTGCAAAGGATTCCAGAGGTAACTCTGGGTAACCCTGTACCCCTGGGTACAGGGTTTTGCTCCGCTCATGAGCAGGGCAGCTCCGGTTGGGCTCCTGTGCGTAGCGGTTTGCTGCGCTCAGGGAAATTTGGCCCCTGGGTGCGGTGCGTAGGCTGCGCTCAGCTGAGTAGGGGCTGTAGCGCACATAAAAATCGCTCCGCACACGCTCTTTCGTGCGGAGCGGTTGCGGTATTGCCTGACTCCTTTTTGATTCTTATATTGCTTTCTTGAGACCAAGGAAAAGCATTAGCTGACGGGGGATCTGAAGACAGATATATCGCTTGGCCCACTCCAGATGGAGAGCCTACAAATATGAGTGAGATTAATCATTTGATGATCATTACTAAACTGGTTTAGTAAATCAATGTATATGATGATGCGAACTTACTTGGTTCTATTTTGACTTTTTTCATGTCAAATTCAGAGTTCAATAAAATCCCTGCATCACTAGCAGATCTTTTGGAAGCGGTTGGTTTTGGAAATAACAGTTTGGCTGGAGGTTCAAAAAAAGACCGGTTGGAACCGCCGGATTTGTGAAACGTAGGAGACAAGTCAAGTCGCATTTGTTTGCTGCGCATCTTGACTCGATCGTCGACTTTGGTCGCCTTATGGAAGACTCAGGCCTTCTTCATGATAGCCAGATATTCGTAAGTTCTGGGAGGGATATCGCGGGTTGCCATTCCGGATTTCTGGAATCAAGCACGAAATCAAGCACAAGGGGGAAGATAAGGAGAGGAATTCAAAAAAGATAAGAAGTCGAATTTAAAAAAGGCAGGAAACAAAGGGAAGGCGACGGAGTCAATAAGTAGTAGAATACAAAACAAGGATAGAAAGTCATCACTTACCACACCCTTGGCCCAGACCCACGCCCCGCTGTACGTTAATCGGTAGAGAAAATTCGGATCCCAAGGGCAGACTAGGATGGCGCCATCGCCGGGATTAGCTTTTTGAGTGTGTTCATGGAACAGTTGGGCTGCCAACTCGTGGAGGCGAATTTGTTTACGGGCATCCTGGCTCTCAAGCAATGTCAGATAACCGATAAGAATTGAACCCTTATCAATCAAAAGGGGGTATGTGACACACCTCTAGCTCTTGAGTAAGCACACCGACATGCGCTTCTGCTGCAGTGGGGCCGCTGGCGGAAGCAATCAGCTCTTTCGCCGCGGTGGTCTAAGTTTAATAGAAACGAAACAAAAAAATCAGAATAAGATTAATAAGAATAAGATAAAGAATATAATATCAATAACACTAAGAATAAGAACAAATAAGTAACACACCTGAGCGGCCTTTTTCGCTTTTTCTTTGGCATCTTCAGTAAAGATTATGACCGAACCCTTGTGCTTTGTTGCTTTCGCAAGCAAATCGACAAAGCCTTGCCAGGTTGGATAATCGACCAACGTGATTTTTTCACGTCCAACCTGGCCAACCCATTTCAGGCTTGGAGCAAGGTCGCTTGAAAGTACCATATGCCGCATGCCGGGTTCATACTCATCACAAATGTCTCCACACATACCTTTGAAATCTTTGAGAGACTTCCCGAAAAGACACTTGACCAGCTCGAGGACGTTTCCTTGATTGAACATTTTCGATTCAATTAGGTTGTAGCGCGCCGTGGTGGCAGCACCGCGGCGAGTTCTGCTAGCCACCTTCATCGAAGTTGCCTGGTTGACTTCAACCTCTTTTTCAGCGTGGATTTTGAACTTAACCTGAACAAACATTTCGTGTCGTTTATCGAATTGGATACGATTAGCGGTACCGATGCGGTAAAGAGGGTTTTGTTGACTGCAGGTGGCTGGAGCTTCCTCGCCAGTTTGATGAATCGAAGGCTTTTCGAAAACTGACCCAAAATTGACATCACTTTAGTAAAATGAAACTTGTATATGTATATGCAGAGAGACTGACTTACGTGAATTCATGTGGCCTTCCACTTCAACAGCGGGCACTACTGAGGCATCGGTGATTTGTAATTGTGGGTTAGACATGGTAGATTGTTGTATGTTGCCGAGCTGATCATCAAATAAAGAAGCGATTAGAAACAAGAGAATTATCAATATCATTCCAACGAAGCAATTAGAAGACCAAAAGAGGGGCAAAGGAACGCACTGATAACAAGACAGTGGAGTTGGTGTAAAGGTGGTGTAAAGGTTGAAAACGAAAGCTAAAGGTAGACTTTGATTGCACAAATTCGAAACCTGAGACAAAGGACCGATTGGTCAGAAAAAAATAGAAATCAAGCGAAAATAAATAATGTTTTGATTCTTACTGGCGGAGTTCAATGGAGAAGAAGAACAAAGAGATTGGCCAAATGCACGAATATTTAAACCTTTGGCCTTGACCAAACTGATCCCCGTTTTCTGATGATATCATATGATATCATAAGAGGTCATATGATAGTTTGTTTGGTGGCGATAATGGCAATGGGGTGCCAAACCCAAAATAAACACACATATGGTTAGAAGCTAGAATCTTCGGCATCAGATAATGAAATGAGAGCTGGCCTTGTTTGTTTGTTGTTGAAATCTTCTTTGTTTTGTGGTCTGTTACAAAAACACAATTGTCTCCATTGATACCAAATGAATGACAATAACCCTTCAAAGTCGTGTTCGAAATCGTGCAAATGAAACTTTGTTTGATAAATTTGTTGAAGAAAGTCAGTATCCGTGTTCCTTTCTTTCTTACCCAAAGACAACAACCCACATTCATATTCGCAATCGAAATCTTCAACTTCAAACAAGCATGTACCCTCTTTTGATTCATTGAAAATTTATATTCATTCCGTTTCCATTCCTATGTGGATAGAAGTTTGATTGATCAGTGTGATTGAAATGCTTGCATAGCAAAGAATAAAGAACTTACTTACGTATACGTACTTTCATCAAATGGCGTCAAGGAAGGCCTGGATGTCTAAATGAAGTCAGAGTCGAGGTGAGGTTGGAAAGTTGGAAATGAACCGGAAGGACAAGCCGGCCCAACAGATTTCGAAGTTGGATGCTTGGAAGTGTTCCATGACAGTAGATGACAGTTATGGACATTGGAAGACTTAACTTTCAAGGAAGCAAAATTAAGTTTAGGCCTGAGAAATCGAGTAAAACTGAGTTTTGGACGGCAGATTAAACCCTAGTTAAATCTAGGGAACACACAAGACCTCAAAACTTACCAATGATTCTCACAACGGCTGTAACTTGGAATGAAAAAATAGTTTTGAAAGATGTTAAAGCAAGTATCATGTTTCCAAAAAAAGAAATGATTGGAGTTTGGGTCTTGGAAAATTGACAGGGTGCTTCTTTGTAGACTCGGGAATAGGTGGGCATGGCCTCCCCAACGGAGTTTGAACTCATCATGTCTGCACTTAGCTCAACATGCCCCTTTTGTTATTGTTTATCTGAATCTAAATCTCAAATCAAGTAATACTCACTGTATGACAAAATCAACAATGAATTGCAAAATCACAGAGTTACAAAGAAAAAAATGATAATGAGTTGTGTTGAGAGCAGGATTTATAGTTGAAAACTTGGTGATGAACTTGGTGATGATTGATGGGTTTGATGTTGGTAAGAGGAATAATTGAGCTTGTCATTGGCATGCTGTTGATGGTATCAAGAAATTGTTATGAAGTCAAACAGAAAGATTGGGTTTTTGAAAATTAAACTCAAACAAATATGGGTTGATCAATACATGGGAACCAAGATGTGATGGGTCAGGAGGAAGGGGAAGGGGATATTGTTTTTGACAGTTATTAAGAGGAAAAAGACTTGATTTTATACTCAAGAAAACATAGTGAAATTGGCTGCAGCGAACTTGAGGGTGATTCATGGTACAATTCAAAAGCAAATTTACCCATATTGAAAACAAAAGAGCACATACAGGTGTTTAGCCCATGATGAATGAGTTGGAACTGCTTTGTCTAAACACACATACCCAAACAATATGGGGTGCTTTTCGAAACAATCAAAATCATGCTCCAATTATGTCCAACTAGATCTGCAAGCACCCCTCAAAAGCTGAAAATCATGAGACATGGATTCAGCGCTTCAGCGGGTAATTGGCAGATTTAGTCAGAGCTCATGTTAGAATCACCTTTTACGGTGTAGCTTAACAATGTCTTTTGGTTGAAATTCAACCCTATTTATACTAATAATCTAAATAATTTGATACACAAATTTGAAATGTCTTATAAGTTATTGTGGTTTTAATCATGGTTATATGCACACCTTGTGTGCTATCTTCATGACTCAGGTTGTCACCAAGAAATGTGCAGTCAATCTTTTGTCATTCCTTTTGACTACATCAAACATAAATTGTGATTTTTTGTTTATTTGATTCAAATGTAAAATGCTCTTGAGAATGTGTTTGTGAATTGTTCTCTTCGTCCTCCTGTGCTTTTGTTGCCTCTATTCCACTATGTCAATTTCTTTCATTTTGTAATTCACTATAATATGCTTGGCCTATTTTTTCATTTTAGCACTTGATTTTGATATGTACAGTCATGCTTTTATTACTGCTCTTTCACTCTCCAAGCTCTACAAACCTTCAATATGCTTTTCATCAGGTCAGCTTTGTTCTCCAAATTGTGTTGTCAAACTACTCTCTTTTGCAGTGTGTGGGTCAAGACTCACATGGCTTATCTCTTTACATCCTGTAATTATACTCAAACCAGGTGGGCAATATGGAGAAGGAAACATAGAATGAGTGGTACAACATGAGATGATCTATAATTGCAAAGATACAAGACAATAAAAGAAAGAGGTGGCCAAATCCAATACTCTGGATTTGGTCTGCAATAAGTGATATGGGCATTCAGTCAGGACACAGTACAAGGTTAGAATGGATCCAGTTTTACAAGTTGAGTAAATGGGAAGAGAGGTATAAAACAGGAAAAAAGTAACACAAACCAAAGTAGAAAAGCACACAGAAAGTGTATACGTTGAGAACAAAGGCAATAGCCAAATTAGGGAATCACAATCTGCTACTCTGACATACTTTTATGCTCCTCATTTTCCCGCTGTGCTCAAACCTTGAAATTGTCCCATATTTTTTTCCCATATTTGGAAGTTGAAAGTGCTTTTCTTCCTTCTTTTGAAGCAGAGAAGCTTTCATTCTACACTTGACATTGTTTGGAAAACATTTTTTGTTTTTGCATTTATTGTGCTCTAATGACATTTTACCTTATAAATTGTATTTTATGCTGCACTATGTTTTTGCAATTCCCCTTGAGTCTGGACATACTGGCACTACAGTGGTATGGAATTACCATCCTTCAAAGGGTGACTTGTTCCCTGTCCATCTCCAATGCAGCATAAAACCGCTAGATTAACCTCCCATCTCCCTCTCACATGCTGCTCCCTTCCATTTATCTTCTCACTTGGATTGCAATAATTGAATATTGTGTTTCTTCTGCTTGCCATCTGACAAACCATAAAACTGATTGCTCACTTACATGGTGATTTGTACAAATTCATGATTTTGTTGGCCATTAGGGGAATAACCTTCCACATGTGATACATGCTGTAACTGTTTTGAGCTTGAAAAAAGCTTACTGAAAATTGACTACATACACCAACTCAAATTTTTGGTGTAATTTCATCAACTAAACTTCATGTAACACCCTTTCTGTTACTGACAAATGGCTTCAAGAGTATGGCCTGAGCAGCTATGGAGGTATATGTAGTCAGTCAACGGTGGCTCACTAAGCTAAGCTAAGGATTTTTGCCACCTTGGCTTAGCTTAGCTAGAAGCCGCTAAGGAAAAATCCGCTAACACTAATCTTAAGGGATTTCCGCTAACGCTAAGCCATTAGCTTAGCGGGCGTAAAATGACACCCGCTAAGCCAATCAATTGGCTGCTAAACCGCTAATAGCGGCTTAGCGGCCCTTTTTTGCACTTAAAACATGTTTTTTGATAGCTAAGCTCCTGGCTTAGCTTAGCGCAGACCTGCTAAAGGAAAAATCACAATTTGATTAGCTTAGCTCGAGTGCGCTAAGGATTTAGTATTATCTTAGCAATAAAAAATTGTTAAGCTAATGCACCACTAAGCGCTAACTTAGCTTAGCCGTGCCACCATTGAGTCAATATTTGGGACAATCTTGTCAAAGTGATAAAAATTACATGATTTATCACATGTGATTTACTTATTTAGTTGAACAAAAAATTGAGCAGACCTGTATGTACATGATAGCCACCTATTTACTCAGCCTGACACACATATGTAGTGTGGGGTTTATGGCTCCGCATCCCATGTTTATGCAAACTCTATTCCTACATGACCACCTACAGGTTTATAAATGGCCAATCTCTTTTTCATGGCTAGATCTAAACCTTGTATGGATAAGTGGAGTGCCCACCTGGGGCTTTTTTGTGTGGTACTGAAAGCTTCAGTCCCAAAAAAGCCCCAGCTCAATTATTCAGCTGGGTGTGGGGGTCAGGGTGGATACAAAACAGGAAACTAATTTGATAAACCATGTGTGGTGGTGTTACTTGTAATGAGAATGGCAAGTCAGAATTTTTCAATGCAGAACTTTCTTGGTTTTGAATTTTCTTACATTGTAAGTTTTTGGGTTGCTGTCACAACATGTGACAGCTGCTGCTCATCCTCCTTTCACACACTCCCTAGGTCATGGACTATTCCACATTGTGCTTTTGTAAGTGGGTTCAAAGGAACCGGCAGGACCAAGAACTGAATTGATGCTATCAATGACTGGTAAATGGACATTCAGGTAGCTCTTACCTTTTTGATATTCAGATTAAAATTTATGCTACTCCTGAAAGGAGAGGTGATAGTTTACTGGTTCCAATACTTTTGCAAAGATAAAGTTTTTGATTGGTCAAAGGTGAATGTTCTTGCAAGAAATTTCCTAGCTACATATGTAGGATGCTTTTGTGCGGACTGCAATCTTTATAGATGTGGAGAATCCATTAGGTCAAAAACCAAAGGCATTGTTGTAAAGCTTGTCTCCCCCAACAATTGTAGATCAAATAATTGAGAGGTCAAACTTAATGAGAATCTCCAATGGCCCATGCCCTTTGAGATGACCACAGCATCTGACATTTTTACAAAATAAATGTAGAATTGTCCTGTGGAAGATAAGGTTATGGCCACTCACTTTTTGTTGGGGGGCAAGCTTTGCAAGAATGGGGGTATTGATTGCACAAAAAAACTCATTTTCAAGTTCTTCAAAAATCTTTTGAGTTGTTTATTGATTCTCACTTTGGAATGGATTTTGATGTTGATGTTGGTTTTGGTTTTGGTTTTGGTTTGAATGTTGCATAAGAGGGGCATAATTGTGATAAAGTATGAAAATATTGATCTTGATGGAGTTTGAAGCAATGAGAGGATGTTCAGTGCGGAACTCATTTGATCGATCGTCAGGGTTGAGTTTAGCTTTCAGATAGTAAGAAGTTCCGGTGTATATCTTCAGTGACTCTGAACCGACCGAGTCATGAGGCATAGGTTGATGATGAAAAGGAAAGTGAGGTTAGAACTATCAATGTTCGGAAAAAGAAATGAGGACTCATCAATCCCATCATCTCGCTCATACAGCGCTGTGAATCAAATTGGTCAGTGACACTCAATAACTAATTGAAATAGATGTAGTCACGACCAATTCCTTTGGCTGAAGCTGCGTGGTAATACTTACCTGAATCTGCGTGATGTCAGATCAAGAATCTATGGATGCCGTGTTGCCCTTGCTATTCTACCTGCCTGGGTCTGCGTGACATACTCACGTGGCATTCACGGCAAGCGTTATCGAAGTATTTGTGTCCTACAAAAAATGTTGTGAGACAAGCGAGGCATGCAACCTTTGAGCCATTCTTCCAAAAAATCGCCCAGTGACACCCTGATTCAACTATAGGTTTGAATATCCTATATAATGAAGCGGATTTCAAGATTGAAATCATAAGACTTTCTTACTCATCCTCTTTGTCTTCTCCAAAGTCGTTTAATAACCTTTTCCTTACATCTTGTGTTATAATTTCACCACCCTGATAATATATACATATATCAATTTGCGTTTATTGTTAATATTTTTCTTCGTATACCTATCCATATCCACCCCTTTACCCCTAATTCATAATCCTTAATTTCATCAACCTACAACAATACCTTCAATAGTAATCAGTTTACCATATACTCAAACAACATGTCATCAATCCGTTGGACCCTGCTTTTTCTATGTTTGTCATTCAACCTTTCCAGCATCTCGTCGGCATCAACTTCACAGCCCTCTCTAAGAGACCTTCGACCTCGAATGATGGGGGGTGGAATGGGTGGCGCCAGCAAAAAAGGTGCTGATGATGCGGCAGGTCCCCCAAAGAAGGCTCCAGGTGGTGGTGGTGGTGGTGGACCTCCCGGCGGTGGTGGTGCATCCTCCGGCGGTGGCGGTGTATCTTCCAGTGGTGGTGCATCTTCCGGTGGTGTTGGTGCATCTTCCGGCGGTGGTGGTGCATCTTCCGGCGGTGTGGTTCCAGGGAGCGGTGAGGTGGCAGGCGGGGGGTGCGGAAAGTATGCAATTGTCAGGTTAGTCTCATTTTCATTTTTCACTTCGCGGTTTGGTCCAGGCCATTGAAACATATATCTGCTTCAAAATCTTTCCAACGCCCAGTGCCAGAGGAACAGGCGAGAAGCAAAAGAATCCTACGGGATATGCTGGCTTTATCAAGGGTCTCATGAAGCAAGTACCAGGAGGAGCCAATTATGAAGTTGTCTATCCAGCCACAACCGATTATTTGAACGGACCGAAGCAAGGTGCAACTGATGCGATGAAATATATCCAGGGACGGAAAACAAATTGTCCTTCTCAGAAACTAGTTTTGCTCGGATATTCAGAGGGTGCAATGGTAGTAGTTCAATTGTTGGCCAAGCAAGATTTTCCAGCAGAATCTGTCTCTTCAGTAATCATGTATGGTAATCCTTATTGGCAAGCAGGAAAAGCTTGGAATTTCGGAACAGCTGTGAGTAATCTAACATTGACCAAACGATTCCTAAGAGTTTGGTTCTGATCACTCTTCATTTAACAGAAATCTGGAAAAGGTGTCGCCTCCGCCACTGGAATTAAGCTTCCTCCCGCTTTCGGACCAAGAACGCAAGATATCTGCTTGAATGGTGATATTGTCTGCACCGGTTCTGGTGGAATGGGAGCACATCTCAAATATCCTGGAACTTCTTATGAGAAAGATGCAGTCACATTCTCCGCTAAAATGCTTGGTGGAGCTAGTCCACCCGCGGCTGGTGCATCGGATGTTGGAGGTGCCAGCTCGAGCAAAGTTCCTGGTGAGGGCAACGCTATGGGTGGCATGAAGATGGGTGGCATGAAGATGGGTGGCATGAGGCGATGAGACGCGAAGAATTACACATGAATGTTAATGACCATCCCATAATGTAACTCGATTTTTTTCCCGTGACGCTCCTCCTTCAATCATCATGGATCTTTCTTTCTCCTTCTTTATCTTTGTATCTCGCACCCATACATACAGTTTGACACCAAATTCTTTGTCCTCCATATCGATTGTAGTTTTTCTACAATATCCTAACTCACCTTGGTTATAATTCATGCCAAGACCAATAAGAAACAAAAGTAAATAATATCCTAGTTTCTCAATTATCTTCCTGTCATGTATATATCAATTTGCATATCTGTCCATGATATCATCATTGCACCTGCTTCATACCAAATATTTGGGTTTTTGATCATAAATGATCAAACCGAGACGAGCAGAATCTGTCATGTGAAAATGTTTTGTATCTTGATAAGTTGAATAGTTCATAAAGATTGAAAAAACCTGACCTTCGCATTCATGCTCTTCTCCATAAAACACACATGCGAGGCTTCGAAAGCAATTAACCCTTGCGATACAGGCATTTGTTGAATTCCGATAGGCACTTTCTCGGGGTTCACCGTTCTCCTATCAAATGTTTAAACTTATCTTGTGCTCAAAAAACAAATTGATTGGTTGATCCTTCCAAGATCAGAGATCGGGTTAAAAAAATTCGTATCAAAATGAACGACAGTCCTGAGAAAACAAATTAGCAAGGGCAAAGGAGCAAATGAGCTTCGATGATGACTCCTTTACTCTACAATAGTAGGAGAGCATTATAACTCAAATTCACAAGATTGTCTCATTTAGTTGTTTGGTTCAGTCTTATGGGCGATATCTTCACTCAATAAAGGATAAAACCTTCCAAAGCATTGCGAGGTGTCGTATAGTATGGATGATTACAGTCAAGGGTATAAAATCAGATAACAAAAATTGATGAGCAAGATCACATCCACCACTGAAATTTATAGATTTATATTTGTAGATATTTAAAACAAGCTGAGAATGATTTCAAGAATGACATGCAGTCAGCTGTGAAGGTGATAGAGATAATGAATGATATGATAACAGTTGTATTAAATCTGTTGAAATTCGATATGTTAATTTGTTAATTTAAGCGAGGGGAAATGAAAGATTGAAAATAGAACACCACACATTTCGTTCGACCAACAATATAGTCAACAAAATCAATAAGACCAGCGAATGAAGGATTACAAATGAATCTTATGATAACAGTTATAGTAGTACTAAATTTGATGAAATTCAATATGTTAATTTGTTGATTTAAGCGAGGGAAACTGAAAGATCGAATAATAGAATACCACACATTTCGTCCACCCAAAAATATAATCAACAAAACCAATAAGACCAGCGAGAGAGATAAGAAAATGAGATTTAAGTAATAGTGACGCTTCAAGTAGACTGTAAGTAATAGTTGAATGAAAGTGAAAATGAAAAAAATATCACAATGATTTTTTTTATCTAGAATATTGAAATATTTTAAGTCTCCTCAAGATATAACTTTTCCTTCAACAAATCTTCTAAACTTTTCAATCTCTCCTGTGGATCCTTCTTCAATAATAAACGTACAACTTGGCAAATATCATTTGAGACTGATTCCGGGAATTGGATTTCAGCAATCACTGTATTTACCAAAATTCCTTTCATGATGTCAAGTGAGGATACGCCATCGACACGAACTAATAAGAAGTGAAAGTCAGCCATTCTGCAAAATACGAGTAAAGAACAAGAGACGAAATTAATTAAAAACAGTGTGACATACCTGGTATGAAAGGAATACTTTTATGGGTCATCCTGTACAACATTATCCCGAGTGCCCACCAATCAACAGCGTTCGAGTAAGGTTTATTTTGCAGCATCTCAGGCGCCATGTAAACAAGAGTCCCATTGCAACCAGTACTTAATCCTGAAGGGGCTTCTGTTGCAACGCCAAAGTCGATGAGCTTGATTGTATCGTCGTCTTTCAAGAGGACGTTTTCTAATTTGATATCTCTATGAATAATTTGTTTTGAATGAACATATTGAAGAGCCTGAGCCACTTGTTTAGTATAATTTTGTACTTGTTTTTCTGTAAGAGGAGCCCGATCAATTCGTGCTTTGAGGTCACCACCAGCTAAGAATTCAAGAACGATGTAAAAGTAATCTCGAGTTCGCCAGAAGCCGTAGATTTGAATGATATAAGGATGTTTGAGATCATATAAAAGCTTGATTTCATTCTTGATTGAGGCATCTTTATTTTTTTTCTTTGCATCAACCCGTGGGATTCTCTTGATTGCGCATTGAAGTTGATTTGTTTTCCAAAAAGCCTGAAGAACCCACCCGAATGCACCTGATCCGAGTTCCTTTTTAACATCAAACTCAGCTCGTCTTACATTTCCACAGGACCGACTCGAAGCGTGATCTCTATCCCAGACGTCGAAATTCGGAGGAGCCGGAAATTCAGTCGAACGTTTTCGCTTCATACTTGAATGTGAATAGGAAGTAGTAAATAAGATGTGAGAGTGTTACGATGATGTTTGTAGGTGATTCAGTTGTTGGAATAAGCTATAAAGTTGTTTGAGATGATTATAATGATGAGTGAATCGAGTTAATATCAATATCAAGTATTAGATGAGATGGAAAGTGTCTAGGAGATACGCGTTTATGATCTAGTCGGTAGAAGAGGTAGTTTTGAATGGAGATGTGAATGATGAAAGGATTGAGTAGATGTGAATAGGAAGTAAGAGGAAAAAGTCTTGAGGATATATGTGTTGATGATTTAGTAAAAAATGTCTAGGAGATACGTGTTTATGATCTAGTCGGTAGAAGAGGTAATTTTCTATAGTAGATGTGAATAGGAAGTAAGATGAACAAGTCTTGAGGATATTGGTGTGATGATGTAGTCGGTAGCAGAGGTTGTAAAGTGTTGTAGGGGAATTGGAATGACGAATGGTAGGAATCGGATGGTGGAAGATTTGGTCAAGAGACGAGTACAAAGGAAGTTGAGGTAGCCGAACTTCGATTGAAGCTGATCCGCTTTGTACAGCCTTGTATTGTAACTATGTTGGAGGCGGGCCGCATTTTCAAAGCGTAGGAACATAATGTGATACATTATTTAGTCGAGAGAATAAAGTTTTTAGAAATTATGATAATGCTCATAATGCTAATGACACTGATCATACCGACGCCAAAAAACGTATAGTATTGCATTTTTAAAAAGACCATTAAGAAGACCATATGGGAATGCATTAGAACCATAAAATCACGAGACAGACACATATTTGGATGTCAGTCTGATTGATAATGCGTCCTATCACGTCCTAGATGTACCATTTTTCTCGACCAACAGAATATGTCTTTATGGTAAAGTCAAACTCAGTCGCGTTCTATTATTGAAGACTCAATCCACCTTGAGAAACGTCATACACACGTCTGTGACGTCTTCTAATTAAAGCCTTGATAGAGGAACCCAAGTCTCGCTTTGTATGGGCCTCGTCAGCATAGAAGCAAGCACCCGTTTTACACTTCAAAAAGTCGAAGACCGCACTCAATCGTGGGTGCCAAAAGCAGACATCGAGAGTTGAGCAATCTCTTCAGTTGGAATTGTGGTATGGATCAATATCAAAATCAGAGTGTTTTTAATGCCTTAACCATTTATCAACAAAAATCGACGGACTGAAATTTCATCACAAGTAAATGCAAGAAAACACTTGATGATAACAATATATTTCACACGAAACTCTAGATATATCCACAAGCCCGTGCCAATAAGAATGATATAATACTCATGCCGAAAATTCGCATTCTATAGTAATCAAGGAACAAGATCTAACTACAATCAACAAATCAAGCACGATCGTTCTCGAATGAGCCGACCTTAAACAAACTCCCGGGGTTCTGTCATGCGCGCGCAATGTGGACCGACAGGAACTTGTGAAGCCAAGGAAACAGTAGACATGCTCAACAAATTTTTCTATCTTCTGTGGGATAAGGTATCGGTTAGAGCCATATCTCAGAAGCGTTGTCGAGCTAGCGATTCAATCAACCAGAAGAGCAAATCCAACGAAGCAAAAAAGATGACGACCAGAACACGGGGCATCAAGAACAAAACCACTGATCGTAAGTCTTGTACTAAACACATTGTGCGATAGACAGGTGAAATCTACTCCCAAGTTGGAGATGATTATACTGTGATGGCGAGGAAAGTGTCGGACTTTTGCATCCATTATCTGTGCGTCGTCCAGCATTATTGTTCATCACATTTTGTCAAGAAGACATGATGCGGTCGTTTAGGATTTAATTGCATACAAATATTTGTGGATCATGATGAGGCTATTGAGCAATTTTTTGGTTTCATTATAAATCGATCATCGTGGCATCCATCATAACATCCTTATAAGTCATTGTAATCGCAATCATGCCCCTGCATCCGAAAAATCAAGCGGGATGTGATAATTTAAAAATAGTGGGAACTACTGGTGTATGAAGATGGTATTGATTAATGGGAGTGACTCCATATCGTCGATAAACTTGAAGCATACGCATTTGACTGCAACTGAGTTTGTTCCCATCGCATAGGTTCATCGCGTGCAACTTATATTACTTAATAGATCTAATCTTATAGATGGTTTAATGGAGATTCATACCAAAGAATCGGTTTCTGAAGAATTAGAACATGCGATGATATTGTGAAATCTTCTACTGGTATAATTGGTTTAGATCCAGTTGAAACTATTGAAACAAGAGATTTAGTACAATTCTTGATGATCGGATTAGGATAGGCTTGATTGAATGTATCCCAAACATTGGCATTGAACATTCTTTGAAATAAAACTTGTAGATACTCGATTATTTCAAAAAATACAATAAAAACCCCTCCATTACATCGAATTTCTGTGCAACGCCCAGCATTTTTGTTCATCACATTTTGTCAAGTGAAATTGAAGGGGCCGTTCAGCATTCGGATCACATACAAGTATTTGTGGGACATGAGAAGGCTTTTGAGCAGTGTTTCGGTTTCCTTATACATCGATCATCAGGCCATCGATTGTAATCAAAATTATAATCTGTTGACCGATCATTCCAATGTACTGTCAACCTCTCATTTTTTAATTTAAAGTGCCCCTCCATCCAGAAAATCAAGCGGGATGGGATGATTCAAAAACATTGCGAATAACTTGAGAGTGAGTCCGGATTGTAGACGAACTCGAAGCATACACATTTGGCTGTAACTGAGCTTGTTCTGATTGCATACGTCTCGATAGGTTCGATTGAATGTAAGCCGAACACTGGCATTGAACATTCTGTTAAACAAAACTTGTATATACAAGATCTCCTAGAAGAATCGATACGAAGAATCGATACCTCTGAAGATATGCACTTCGAAGATATTCAAACAAGATCAAGACGATCGGTTTTGTTTACTCCTAAAGAATCTTATCGGTCCAACATCGAGTTTGGCATCCAGCCATTGAAGTCAGTCACACGAACGTGCAGACCGAATATTGAGGATATCTTCTTGATGCACGATGCACCAAGACAGGCAGAGACTCTGTTGTCATTTCTGATGATCCTGGCTCTGGCTCCGATTCCAGATCTCCTAGAACGCGTCTTGATCCATTGGTTGTATATAAACCACCTGGAAACCATCGTTCAGAGCAAATTTCAATATCTAACTCCGAACTTTCGTTCAATGGAGGTTTTATTGATCTTTTCGGCGTGGTGAGGTCAGAGGTTGCGTAGTCAGAATAAGACCTGGTCGAATCGACGTCAGAAGTTTAGACCTGGCGTGTTGGTAACGATCAATCGAATTTCCATGTGAAGGTAGGAATCGGATATAAGAAAGTAAAGTGCGATTTAGATTCAGGTCAACTTGTAAAACAAAAACAAACTTGAAGAAGAAAGTCAAGATAGGCTTTAGACTTCAAAGTTTTCCAATCGAGTTGTTAAAACCGAAGGCCTTCAAGGCTCAACCCCTTTTTGGGATCTTTCAAATCAAACTTTCAAGAAAAAAAATCAATAGACGCATGCCACCCATGACGTATGTATGCACCTGCACCAGCTGTGTTGCGTGCGCGCTTTGAAGTTTTTCTACTCAGCGACGATGTGAGTTGACGAGGTTTTTTAGATTTCTACTGATTTGAATTTCTACAAAACCTTGTGTACGAAAAAGATTGACAAGCTAATCCAACTTCCAAGATTATTGGGGTGGGTCTTACTTGGATTTACAAATTTGTATTTATATGTATACTGGGACTCGGGACATGATAAGGAACTTGAACCCCTTTTATTTCCACTTTTTCTTGCAAGAGGAGTTTCTCAAACACGATTACTTTCTTGATCGTTTGGATGATACCACCTAACACAATCGCTTGATTTCGAAACCCTTCAAAACGTCAACTTATACATACCTTTAAACCCATCGATACACTCACTCGGTTCAATCCTTTACTTTTGGTCAACTTATCTTCAACAAGACCATCAAGATGAAAACAAGATGGATCCAACATTTCACAACTTGCGTACTCCTGAGCCAATCGATCCAAGTCCGATCAAAAGTTTCAATACCTTTAACGAATGCCATCAATCTATTCACCGTTCCAATCAGTATAGGTGATCCATCTACAATCCATCATCTTGGGATCGATACCGGTTCACTGGTCACATGGTGTGGAGCCATCACACCTTATGTTGAAACTAAATCGACTGTCAATTTAAACTTACCTATGCAAATTAATTATGGATTTGGTGATGCTGAAGGTGTATATGTGAATGATACGATCAGTTTTAAATCAGAAGATAATGATCATCAAATCATCATGCCAAAAGTAACGATTGGAAAGATTTCATCACCTGTTGTAAGTCATGATTTCTTTCTCATCCTATGTAAATTAATCCCATTTTAAAACAAAGAAAAACACGTTAAATTTGACCATAATCTCTTTTTTTGTTTCATCACAATTTGATTGAGGTTTTGTTTTTTTAGGGATTTGATGGTTATGATGGATTAATAGGATTAAATCCAGTTCCATGGGAATCCGATCCCAACTCAATCATCGAAACCCAAACCGTAATGGTCCATATGTGGAAAAGAGGTTTAATACAAAAAAATATGTTTGCAGTAAGTTCCAATCCGTTCTCGTCTCTTACCATAACCACAACCATATCATGAATAATTCGAATCGATTGTTCTTTTTTCATCGGCTTAGGTTTCTGGTAAACCTACTAAATCTATGAAACCGGAAAAGAATGGTATGATTACTTTTGGTGGGTATGAACCTTCGTTATTTGTTGGTGAATTGTATTGGTATGATTGTTATTCAGGAAGGTATGTGATTTTTCAATTCAATTCAATATATATATACATAAAAACTTAACTCATGATTTTTTAATGTGATTTTGTTTATTTGCTTAGTCATTGGGATTGGACGGCTTCTGTTCGGTATGGAGAAACCTCATTAAGTTCAGGTCCGATTCGTGGTATGTTCGATACAGGTAAATGATTCACATAAATCTTCAAGAAAAGATACCAAACTGTAAGCTAAGATAAATGACTTTAAAAGGTTTCACAATCGGTCCAGCCTTATCACCTGATCTCTTCAAGAAATACATAAACTCGATTCCAGGAGCAAGATGGGATTCCCAAGACTTTCAACAATCTAATCCATCTGGAAATATCAATAGACATTTATTAAAGATTCCTAAATCTTCGATTCATCAAATGAAAGATTTATGTTTCAAAACTCAAGATTTTAAAGATTGGTGTTTTACTCCTGAAGCTCAATTGATACCTGAAAACGTCTTGTTTCATCAAACTTATAGGTACTCTTTCGTTTCTCCTTTTCATGGTACTAAACTTCCTTCATTTAAATGTAAGTTTGACTCTTAAAAAATAATATTAGGTGTGCCTCAAAAGAGATTTGAACTTATTTTTTTGGGGGTTGATTTTTTTTAGTTGGAATGAAAGGTCATGAGAGGTTTTATGTTGTGTATGATGTAGAAAATTATAAAGTGAGTGGTTCATCTTTAAAAAGCCATTCATTTCATCATTCTTATCCTTGATTTTTTCTATGTGATTCAGATTGGTTTGGCAGAGACAGCATGGACGAAAAGCAAGTTTTGAAAAGCTAGAAACTATTACCCAGAAAGATTTTCCAAGGTTTTACTTTAGTTTACTTCTTATATAGATTGATAAAGTGAAAAATTAACCAAGTGTTTTGATTTGGTCATACATATATATCAACCAACTTAAAGTCTTGGTTTTTTTGCTCTGTGTTGTATTGATTCTTTTTTATTTATGGACTTTTAAAGTAGATTCCCAATAACATTAATTATCAAGAAAAAGAAAAAAAAACTTGAAAATAGTTGAGATCTTTTTAGAGATTATCAATGTTTTTTTCGTGGTGTGGATGGAATATGATCGTGTGTTATCTTTGTTTGATTTTTTTCTTTCTTGGGTGTAGATTATTAGAATTTGACAGAAGATTTTAACAAGTTTCATAAAGAATGGTTTATGGACAATTGTCTAGAGAGTTACTTGCAATCTTATGTTCTAAAGTATAATGGTAAGTGAATCATTTGGTGATTTCTTATTTGGTTTGATGATGATTGATCTGATCAGTTACTCTGGGTATTATGAGTGAAGTTTGGTATTGAATTCTAATCTTTATAATCACTTGACTTGAGAAAGACCTTACCCTAACTTAACTAAGGTCCCTCTACCTCGTGAGCGAGCCTTTAGCGAGTAGAGGGACTTACCTGTAATGTCGAGTTTCTTGGTGAGGAGCAGATTGAGGTTTTGGTGGTGGGAATCTGTACTAATACAACTTTTCCGTATCGGAATACAAAATTTCCTTCTCTTGGCTTATGTTTTGAATTGGCTTCTTGTTCATCTTTCTATCTATCCAACTTTTGATTCTCAAATTGAGATGAAAAGTTTTCATTGAGCTCAAAAAGAGCTCATCTGAAATTTCGAATGCTGCGAGTTACCGAAAACAAAAAGGTATGTAATGTGAGACCTTGTGAACCTTTCGACTCAAATCTGCACTGTTGATCATCAGAAGTTGACCGAGAAGAACCGGTCAACAAGGATCAATTTGTTACATGAGAAGGATAAAAACTCGAGAAATTGTGTTTCTGCCATTGGTTTTTGCCAGTTGCTGTTTTCCGCGGAAACAGCAACTGGAAGTTTTTGAGATACCTACCACTTGTTGACCACTACACCAAAACCTGATCCTAAAAATGAGTTCGCACATTGACCCAGCTGTGGGAGGACTGGATTCAAATACCGAAGCCAATAATCGAGTGCCGGCGGTCAGCACAGCTGGAGCTGAAGAGCCTGCTCAAAATATCACAATCAGGATATGTGATTATATCAAGAAGACATCTTCAATGACTCCAAAGGAATTCATTCGGAGTTTACTTGATTCTGAGGTCCCTGGAGTTGCTTCGAGACGCCAATATTGGGCTACACAGACTGGTTGGTCTTCGACCGAGAAACTTATCTTGAGTATCAAGAAACGAGTGATTGAAAGCGAAAAAAAGGATGGTACTGACCGATGGAGTACCTTCATCCTGAATGAGGCAAGTCTCTTCCAACAACATCAGAGAGTTGAATCCTTTCTGATGAAGTTGCAATTTCAAAAGGCTCACGAGATTGTCAATCGTGAAGAGCCGCCTCGAGGCTATGCTCCAAAGGGAAGCTTCCATAGTGCTGAGCGTGTTGACTACAAGTTTTTTGAAAGCCCATCTGAAGACCTTCGAGAAAATATCTTGCGGAACAGCATGCCTTTCCTGCATTCTCTAATATACAAGAAGATTGAATTAGCTGTTATGGAACGAAATAAAGTGCGTGAGGAAAAGTCAAAAAATATTGGTGATGCAATACATCTACCAACAGATGACGAGAGTACTCTGGAGACTATTCCTGCTGAGTCAATGGAAGGTCTATCACATTCAGAAAGACCTTCCTCAAGCAGGACTGATGAGCATCGACTGAAGCATGTACGTATCTTTGATTCAAGTTGATTGAATTTAAAGCAAAATATTAACTGATTATGTATCACTTCAACAAGCTTCCTTGTACTATACTTGCGATGATAGCTTTTTCCTGCAACAGACGCTTCAATGGGACACAACTACAAAACTCAATCTCCTTTATTGCTTGCGGTATTTCTGAGCGAGTGAATGATTATCTACACTTCCTAGGATTAACAACAAGCCGTCAAACTGGACTGAAAGCCATGGAAACTCTTGGAAAAGCTTCTGAAGAGATCATCAAAAATAGAATGTCCCAAAAATATAATCTTCGGCCTTTCACAACACTTGATAATATCGATATTCAAGCACGTGTTCATAATCCTCGGATTGAGGCGTCTACAAAGATGTTCCATGGTTCTTATGGATATCTTCACTTCTTACCTGGACATCTTCTTGATAAAATCGACCCCAAGGATGCTAGTCTCGAGTCTCTTCTGAAGTACATCGAAAAAAGCCAATCAGAACCGTTTGAAATTTTCTCAATGTTACGCAGTCAAGAAGATCAAGTACATTGGTCCCTTGTACTGAAGTCGCAGCTGGCTAAAGCTCTCTTGGATTACGAATTCAAGAAAGACTCAAAAACATACAAGACTTGTAAAAAAATCCTCAAAACCGTCCCCCCTCCAGTGGACCAAATCGAATGGTACAAGCCCGATCTAGTGATGCTCAAGATGATGAGTGCATCAGACAGCTCATCTGCAGGAGTGTCTGATATGCTCAATCAATGTTTAAAGCAAACTGGCGAGGACCCGGATAAATGCGCTGAGGGAATTCAAGTGTTCAAAGGAGACATGGGGACTTGCTTGAACTTTGAGTCATTGACTCGCCAGCGCTTTCCAGCTGAGGTAGCTGCAGAATCCTTGAGTAGTGTTCTCAACATGCCCGGACTAGCTCATACAATGTGGAACATGGCTAGCAAGCTTATAAGCCACCATTGGGGTGATTCGAGTAACTCAAATGACACTGGTCTTCACCGTACAGCTAGTGCGCTTGCAATGCCAACGGACAGACTTCCATCTCAACAGGATTTTAATTCTTTGCTACAAATGATTCACAAAAGTCATACGGCGACTATGGTCTTTTTATTAAGATATGTATGAATTTACTTTTGTCTTTGCAATATACCTCTTGAGCTGACGATTTCTGTCTTTCAGCACACAGGTAATTCAGAGTCGTGAATCCCCTGTTCAACTCGATCAACCCAATGTAGCCCAGTCCATCATTGATGAATGCTACAAGAAATACTTCACTGTCTCATCAGTCAAAGACTCTTCAAAGACTGGAGACTGGACTTTGTATAATCTACGCCTACGGCTTCGCGACTTTGCCACAATTGTTGAAGGTGATAATGCAATACGAGTAGGAGATGTAGGCCGTGTCCTGCTGATGTGGAAGAGATGGGCTGTTATGGCACATGGAGTCAAAGGGCTTTCACACTACGCAATACACCTGCCAAGATTTATAATGATACTCAATAAATTCTTACCTCCAGAGACTTCTAAAGCAATAAAGCATTCACTTTTAATTCCAACTGGAGGGCGCGACGGACACTGGGTCGCCAAGGATTTTTATCTCGAGATTCAGAACTATTGGCTGAAATACTTCTATAATAACTCGGTGGGTCTTTTCCTCTTTCAATTGTTCAATTATCACATACTGATCAGATAGATAACAATAGGGTCAGGGTACAAAGATTGAAAATCTTATGGAAAGATTTTCAATCATCATCCCACTTGTGCGAACAATTTTCTTTCTTTTGTATTCTTCGGTGTGATTACAAGGGTTGATTGAGTATAAATCCTACATAGCTACGTGAGCAGATACATCAAATAAAGACTCGATCTGGTCTGAAGGATGTATATCAAAACAATCCACATCCAATCTCCGAGCAAACCATGAGAAACTTTCTACATATGGCTCAGGTTCACCTGAGCGATCCCGAATACTCTCAATATAACCGATCTGCTGACGAGAATGACGAAATCGACGACATAGAAACGTTAGGAATTGAAAAGTTTTGGTCAATCCTCAACATTGAAGCACGAAAGAAGCTTGCTTCTTGCTTCATCTGGGGATCTATGAGCACAAAAATAGATGATCAAGACACCTCAAATCAACCTGATCAAGACACTTTGAATCAACCTGATGAAATCACAGTACTTACTTGAAATTAAACCAAACTCGATGTACTTGTAAGATGAGATATCACTTTATTTTTGTTAGCTTGTTTCTTCTCTTTCAACTCCAAAGCCTGTGCTGCCTTCTCGTTGCGTAATCGCTTTTGTTCTGCGATACCTTGCGCTTTGAGATCTCTTGCTGCAGCCTTCAATCGCGATTCTTCCTCATGTTCTTTTTCAATGAGGTCTGTGTCAAGTATCTCTTGATCGATTGAAATCTGGATAGATATCTTCAAGATTGTCTTGGTGTTGTTTGTACGAGTCACTCTGAAGCCAAGAATTGATACTAGTTGTGATTGATTCAAAGAGTCCAGGTATCGTTTGTCCTCCAAGGATCTCTCGCAGAAAGTCTCCATTGGAAACTGATATGTAATTCTTAGAAATCTGCCAAGCATCCTCAAGGTTGAAAAGAGTTTTGGGTAAATAGGGTGGATCGGTTGGATACGTTTTCTTGAAAAGAATTTTGTAATTTGCAAGAATGGAAACTGTAAGATCAATGATTGATACATCCAGTCGGATTGGGTCATTCCACTTGCATACAAGTGGAATGTTGCTGGAAAATTTTCGCTTCCTGCTGCTCCTTGGAATATTGAGTAGTGATTCGTCTTCTGGCTCAGCCTCAGATGGAAAAGACGAAATCAGAGCATTCAAATCGGCTGATTTTGTTTGTGGAAGCAGTCGAATGATTCGAGCAGCTCCTTGAGGGTCACAATTCGAACATCGACAAGCAGGCATTTTTGCATCCTTTTCCCGCTGAATCTCCAAAACATAACCAGGATCCGAAAGAGACATGGCAATGTAACCCTTTCTGTATCATGCATATTGATCAGCTTTCTGATGATGGATGTTTTTTAGTCTTTGTGTAGCATCCAAAAAGCTTACAGGTTGTCTAGGGAATATACCACTCTCAAGCAACACGGTGTGAGTCTTAGGGCATGCATACGCTCCTGATTGTCCATCTGATTGTTTACATCGACCTCGGAAGCCGAATTCTTACCGCTAGATAGGTTTGGCTGAACAAATAAGATTACTAAGCCTTCGCTTCCATCGCGCCCACGCCCAGCTCTTCCAGCCATCTGATTTGAATCAGATGGGTCCATCGCACCCATGATGACTACAATCTTGACGCGGGGCCAGTTCTGACCCAGTCCAAGAGCGGAAGTAGCAGAGAGGATTGGAAATTTCCCTTCGCCATAATCTTGGGCCCGTGTCATTTTGTCTTTATCACCAGTCACAGAATGATATCTGCGAATACAATCTGATTTTGGATTCGTATAATCGTCTGGTTGACCTCGTGCTTTTGAAACTACTTCCATCACCTTCAATGTCCTATTACGAGTACCTGAGTAGATGATCATTGGAGGTAATTCATCGTTTGAAACAATTGATTCATGAGGAATTATTGCAGAGAGATCTTCTGCTGAATCAACAGTCTCAGTCAAATAGAGTCGAATGAAGCGTAGTTCAGGACGAGTAAGCTCTCCTTGTATCATCGTCATATTTGAGGATGTTAAGCTTAAACTTTTCTTTATTGCTGAGATTGCTTGAGGCCGGCAAGTTGCGGACATTAAAAGAACTGGTATATCGTCGGTTGCCATCAGCTGCCGTCCCAGTTTTCCATAGGATGATCGAAATAGTCCAACATCTTGTGGAGTCACATGAACAGAAAAGTTCCTCGAAGCTCCGCTCTCCTGAAGCCCCCACAAATAGATACAGTGTGCTTCATCAACCACCTTTAAGACAAGATGAGCCTGAAACGCTTTACTATGGTAAAGAGTTTGAAATGAGTCGCTATTTAAGAAGATCTCGGGGCTCTGTGGTTACAGATCATATTGAAAGGTGTTAGTTTCTTTGCAAACAAAGAATGGATATGTTATCAATTGATAACAGAACATACCAAATATATGAATGAGTAGTAATTGTCTTTTAATTGCTTCAATACTTTCTTGTCATATGTATTCTTTGTTAGATTAACTGCAGTGATACCAGATCGATTTTTCTCCAAAACCTAAAGAGATCAACGAGGTTGATCAGGCTGACATGGCTGGCATTGATCAGAAGCCTAAACAAACCTGATTATCACCAAGCGCATCTAGCGGGTTTAAGACCAATACAACAGCCTTCTTGACCTTCGGGAACATAAGGAAGAATAGTTCCGAAACTCGACTCTTTCCAGACCCGGTTGCAGAAAGTAAGAAGGTGTTTTGACCATTTGCTAGACTGACATCGGTTTGTAGCTGAACATCGCTTGGTTTGTCATTGAACCACCTAGCCACGAACTTGGCCTTGAACAAAGTCCACTGCTCAGCAAATGTTGCGGTGAGGACTTTCAAGCTGAGGCTTATTCGTTCTAAATGTAAGCTACGGCTGGACTCGCTAAGATTGTTCAAATCCGATCTTTGTTCCTCATCATTTGGAGCGCTTCGAGTTCGCATGCTTGTTGAAGACATCTTGTTTATTTATGATTAGATGCGTTCGAGGCTCTCAAAGCGATGACCGATCAATGTTTTTCCGATAAAGTCAAGACCTCCTCAAATTTGGTTTTCAAGCTGCATGGATGTCACAGACGACCGTTGAGCCAACATCCGCAGTCTGTTATGAAATTCCAAAAGTGCTCTTTTGGAGATCAAGGGAAACTTAGTGATTTGATTGCAAAAGTAAAAGTTGGATAGATAGAAAGATGAACAAGAAGCCAATTCAAAACATAAGCCAAGAGAAGGAAATTTTGTATTCCGATACGGAAAAGTTGTATTAGTACAGATTCCCACCACCAAAACCTCAATCTGCTCCTCACCAAGAAACTCGACATTACAGGTAAGTCCCTCTACTCGCTAAAGGCTCGCTCACGAGGTAGAGGGACCTTAGTTAAGTTAGGACCTTACCAAGCTTTTTGGACTGGTGGGCTTGGTAAACTATTACTACCTTTGCTAAAAAGCTTGCCCGGTTCGACCGCGAACAAGAGACAAGAGAGCTCGAATTTGGCCGCAGCCTGCTGCGAGGCCGCTGCGCAGCTCGACAAGAACCCAAGTTTGGCCGATCACCGATTCTGAAAGAGATCGACTTCACCTGTGGATCTCTGACATTGAGATATGTTGAAATCAATCATAAAGCGCAAATATCTCCCTCATCATGATGGAATCATGCTCACAGGTCTATGCGATTTCTATCGCGCTGCGAATGTTATCGAGATTTGTTTTAATTCCATTTTAAGAAAGCAATTCTCGTCGAACGGCTTAACAATGCGTGACTAGCCAACGTGGGTGCTTCTGCCATCTTGGGTTCAAGGACGAGCAGCCTAAGTTTTTTTGCTAAAATTCCGAAATGAAATCAAGGCTTACATCTTGGACATTTGTCAATCCAATCATCATCCTATGGTGAGCTCTTGACTGAGCAAGAAGAACAAAAGTTTTTTAAAAAAACATGTTGTCCTTTTTGGACTTGTACTTGTTTGTCTCATAGAGCCGAAACAAAAAAGCACAAAAGTTTATCAAGGCTTGAACACACTACTAATGAGGGGTCAAGAGTGTGAAGACAAACATCTAGGCAGACCATTATACCAGGGAGACTATGAAACATCACAGCACTTTTGGTCCTCGATATCATCGAATGAGAGCTGAATTTGACTGTATGGTTGATCTGGACATACCAAGCTCCAGATATGCTGTGAATATAGTCACAATGTGTCTCAAAATGGTTCAAAGTCGGAGATCCATGGGTGAAGTCGATCTCTTTCAGGATTTGTGATCGGCCAAATTTGGGATCTTGACGAGCTGCGCAGCGGCCTCGCAGCAGGCTGCGGCCAAATTTGACCTCTTATGTCTCTTCTTCGCGATCAAACCGGGCAAGCTTTTTAGCAAAGGTAGTAGTATTAGGATTGTTTAATCTTTACTTTTCACTGCTTATCACTTCAACTTGAAGTGATCATCACTAGAACCATTTGAGATCCTCTTGGTTTCTTTAAACCCAGAAAAGTGTGCACTGGTTTCTAAATACATCCTGATTTGATTAAAACATCAAGATTAATGTAAGATATGTTTGAATCTTTCCAAATATTCTTTTTTTCTTCTTGACAACTTTGATGGATTTTCAAATGGAGTTGTGTATTGTATTTAGATATGAATGAATGAATGATACAGTTGATTTGTTTGTATGATTGATGAGTGATGATGGGATTGGGGTGAACTGTGAGAATGGTGATGAAGAGAATGAGAACATTGAGAAGAATACAGAATTGATGAGTTGAAATTTAACGAACGAGATCGCAGTCGATTCTTAGAAACTATATTCACTTTGACTTTACTCACCAGAAGCAATCAACCAACCCACCAATCCACCAACCAATCGATCGATCGATCAGTCTATCCAACTTGATGAATTCACAATCCATCTCACCTAATCCATTACCACCATCAACATCAAGAACTCAACCAGCACCACATCGAGACTCAAATCAAATCAGTTCTCTATCTTCTAATCTAGATGATTCAGAAGAAGATGAAGAAGAAGACGATGAAGAAGATGATGAAGATATCGATCCATTAGGAGAAACTGAACCACTTTCGTTTCTTTTAAATCATCAACCGATCAATAATAACATATATGATTCAACTCAACTTAACACTCATCATCATCATCATCAATCTGATCCTCCATTCTCTTTCTTACCTATCAATTCAACTCTTCATCAACATCATCATCATCATCAGACTAGTTGAGTATGATCAGTATTCAATTTCAAATCATGCTAAATTTAAATTCAAATTGGTTTGATTCTTCTTTCTCACAGATCGAGTTTCTAATCAACAACCATTTTATAATTCAAAAACTGAAACCCATTCCACTTCATTCGATCATCAATCTTCTACTACTTCTCAACCACAACAACCACAACAACAACAATCACAAGACACAAACCAATACCAACCACAACACCATTCACACGATCAAAGAGACTTACCACATTCTTCAACTCATTCAAATCCAAACCATTATCCAATCGATCAAAAACAATCACTCCCATCACAAGACCATCATTCTCAATCGATGATCTCAAGACCACCTACTGCAACTACTACCACACCAGATCATCCTCACCACCAACCTATCCATCACCGCAACCAACCCCATCAAATGAGCTCAAACCCACCCTTAACGAACCGTAGTAGGCAAGACCCATCCAGTTCGATCACCACTTCACTACCAGCTCCGTTTCCTTCTAGTTCGATTACCCCATCGAATCATCCTACTACTCATGCAAATTTGATTCAACCGAGAAGAAGAAGAGTATCGGATGGAAGTACAGGTACTTCTTTGAGGAAAGATATCCTTTTGTCTAAATTGGCTGAAGCACTTACACTTGAAAGGAATAAATCAAATGTTTTTCAAAAAGAATTACAAAATGCTGAACATGAAGTCAGTTTTAATTCATCCCTCTCTGTTGCATTGAGATGATCTGATTGATTTTTGAGATGATCTGATTGATTTTTAGATTGATGAATTAGCAAGTCAATTAGATCAGGTGAAGAGAGAACATTATCAGGTGATTAGTTCGTTGAAAAAAGAAATCAAGTTGTTGAAGAAAGAAAAAGAAGGATTGATCTTATCATTAGAAGTAAGCCCAACACCCACTTCTCACCAACAAAACCAAAAAAAGAAAACAAAAGAACGAAACCAAAAGAACAAAAGAACAAGAAAACTGATGTGTGTTTTTTGTGGGGGATTTTAAGGCAGCTGAAGGAGTAGACCAAGATGAAGCAGATAAATATTTAGCTTTGATTGATCCGGCTCAAGCGATCCTGATTGATCGAGAAGAAGAAACCGGAACTGGCCTCAGTGGTCATGAACATGATGATCATTCATTAAATTATTCTCATCAAACAAACCCACAAGCACAACAACCATCCCAAAGAGATCATCCACTTGAACATCATGAAACCGTTAGGGCTCAAGCTCAAAAACGTTCAGCTGTTCGAGCTCGACGAATCAAGTAAGTTTCATCTTGATAGAAAAAAAGCACGAAATTTGAATGATCTAATTTGGTTTTGGTTTTCTTATATAGTGAAGAATTATCAAAACTAGGTCCTTCGATCGATTCGACCATCACACTAGAAACATCTAAGAACCTAAACCGAAAAGAAGTAGAAGAGTTTGAAGATCGAAAGGAAGAGATCGAATCAGATGAACAAGCTATGAGAGGTAGAAGAGTTGGAGTGATTCAAACCGAACGAGTAAGAAGAAAGTTGAGTAAGAGTAGGAGTGGTGCTCCTGCTGGGCCGACTGGAGGGTTTTGGAGAAGAAGTGGGTCTAGGAATCGGGAGGTATGTGTGACTTTTGATGTGCTCTTTTTTCTTCAAAAGATCTGATTTATTTTTGGGTTTGGGTTTGGGGGTTGAAGGGAGATGAAGTTGGAATCCAACATCGCTATAGGATTAATAGTAATCCATCTGAATGTTATGATTCAGGTTCGTTACAAAACAAATCCCAGTTACTTTCTCATCAAAGAAGTGGAAGTAATGGAGCAGGTGGTGGTGGTGGTAGTAAGATTGGTAAACTGTTTAGAAAAGGTTTGTGTGTGATTTTTTTTCTGTGTGAGTGAGTGAGGTTTTCTGATCTTGTGGGTTTTTTTGGTTATAGTGTTTCCTGTACATGGGAATGATGAAGAAGAAGATCGAGTGGATGGGGATGGTCTTCGTGATGGGTATGATATTGGCGATGAATATATTGATGAACAGAAAAAGGTGGGATTGAGGAATCAACAAGTACCTAGAAGAGAAAGACATCATGTTAGTAATCTAGTAGGAGGTGGAGGAGGAGGAGGTCAAAGAAGAAGAAATGATAGTAGAACTCGTTGAATTTGATTGGTACAAAAATATCAAGGATATTGGAGTTTCTTGAATATCGGATTGGTTTTTTTTTTGGTTTTTTGTTTTCTTTGAAATAGTCAGTGAGTGAGGTGAGGTGTTGTATGAATGGATGAATGAAAATTCTTCTTGATTGATTTGTTTTTTGCTTTATATATCATGGTTTCTGTTTTTTTGGGTTTTTTTCTCTTAATAATCTAATCTAATCTATATCTATCTATAAAAAAATCTATGATAAAAAAAAGTGGGAAATGGGTTTTTTTCAGCTTGGTTTAATTATACTTTACTTGATTTTTTTTGGTGTAATAAAAATGAAGAGGTAAAAAAATCATCATAGTATTATATGAATTGATTGATTTCTTTAAAGAAAAGGTTTGGAAAGGGTGTATATCATATAGTTAGTATAGACACCTCCCCCATTTTGGTCAATGCCATCCCCTGGCTGGCCTAAGAGCACCCACTATCATGAGGGTGATGCATCCAACTTAACACAAGTTTTGATTCTTGCATGGCTTTTTGAAACTTTGAAAGCTTGGCGCCCTGGAGTCTGAGAGGGACTTGTGACTTATCAGTTAGTTTTGGTGTGCAAGCATTCTGAGGATAACAAAATCTTCAGAAGATCTAGATGAACAACTTTGGTTTTTTGAACACATTTCGTTGATTGACTATTAATCCTCTTTCAAGAGAAAGAATTGAAGTCATTTGTGTAAATTTTGTTTCACAAATACAGTCAGCAAAGTGCAATTGTCAAAAGTGAGATATGAGATATCTGAATAGACAGATCTGATGAGAGTGGGCACAGGTAGCTTTAGTTCAAATGGGCAAGGGGGTTGATTGAGAGGAAGTGGGAGTTTTTGAGGTTTTGAAAAACTTCCAACCCAAGCTTGAATTTTGGACCCTTTGTTGGCTCACCGCCAGGGAAGCCCAATAAGTCATAAATGATAAGTCCTTCTCCAGACACCCAACCTTACAAGGAAAAAGTGTCTGGGCCACCAAGGGACTTGGTTGAGTTAGGTACCCATTATGGTTGTGTCAACAACATGATTTAGTGTCAGTTTATTGCTAGAATACAGACAGGTCTATACTCCATAGTGAGGTCCGCTATGGACCTGTTTTAGAGATGTGGTCTGTACAACAGTGTCAAATCTTGCACCCCACATGTTCAAATCTACAAATGTGACTTGATTTATCATAGGAACCAGGTAAAGCAGATTGCAGAGTGGATTTCATGCAGTCACTAACTTAGGTAAAACACCCAGAATTGAATTTCACACCCAGGAATGCAAGATTTGCAATACAACACCACCACCATAGTGGATGCTCTTACAGGCCAGCTAAATAGTTTTGAAAAGAATTTAAGCTCAGTTAAATGTTTCATGGAATGATGTGTGTCCCTGTCTGCACCCATGTGATGTGTGCAAGTACAGTGAACATCCATCAGCACCCAAGAAGAAGGGTGAGCAAGAAAGAAAATTAGCAAAGAGGACAACAGCATGCAAAAAAATTCAAAAGGTAAGTATAGGATTTTTATTTGGTGAGAATACAAACTTTGACATGTGTACTTTTCAGCTTCACAAATGTTGAAGAACATCAGACCCATAAAAAAACAAGAAACTTTGGTTGGACCTTTAATTTATGGATCCCACTATTTAGCGCCCCCTCAGGTGACATCCGGCACCCTCTGGGTTTTTACCAATGCCCGCGTGACCCGTTGACACCCGACTATTCTCAGCCTATATTTTGCACAGTCGGACCTCAAGGTCTCCTTGAGGGCTCTCTAAAAGGGCACAAACTTGCAAATGAGCCCCCATTTGATCGTTAATCAACCTATTTGACACCCTTCCATCCTTGATGGGACAACAAAAATCATCAAAACACATGAAAGGGCACCTAATTTGTTTTGTGCCCAGACCGGCCCCTTGCATGTACGGACATTGGCCCCTCAAGTCACTCTTTATCTTGTCCGATCTTTCCTCCTTCCCTGTTCCCCCTACTGATCACATTTTCATTTTTCACCTTCTACACACCCATCAGCCTTACTTCACTGCCATCATTTGACTCGGACACCAAAATCCAAGCTTGGATTTTGTGTTTGAGATTTCAACCAACACAACATTGACTTGATTACGCATGTGACCAAGTCATGCATCAAGTCCAAGATTGATTCCAAATATTCCAAAATTGATTCCAACATTGATTGTCACATTGATCCTCACATTGATCCTCAAAGGAACTGTCAAGGGTACTGAGATCACATCACTTACATTCTGGATGTACAGAGCAATCGAAACATTTACATAACAATGATGTACAATTGGTGCTTGAGTAGATAAAAAGTGGATTGTTGAAACATATTGTCTATGTATATGTTTTCTCGGCGGCATCTAAGTGACTAAGGTCGTTTTCAGAGCCTACCAACCTTTGTTCGTGGATCCGCCAGTTGTGCTAATGATGATGTAACAGTCAGCTTGACTGCACCAATCCAAAGGTTTTGGCACATTATCTGTGAAACAGATTAGGGAAGGTTTACCGTTGGACGGATCAATTGAAGGGTCACATAAATGGTACACTAAGAGGCACATATTCCTCATGACTCAACTCTAACTAGAAATCTGACTTCTTGCCCCTTGGCAGAGACTATAAGTTTTTTAACAACCTCAACTTTGGTGTCCACAGAGCCAGGCCCTTCCAAATGAGAAAGATTAGACGGTGAGCTGTGTGGTACAACTAAATAGCATTCTGACTGATCTTCAAGTTTTGAATGCAACATCACCCGGATCACCTGTTTTGCAAATCCAAGTCAAGGAGATAGGTAAAAGAGGCAATCTTTTGGTGAACAACGGAGCATAAGGATAAATAGGCAAGATGAAATATGTAAATGGTACGGGAGCCCCAATAAGGAGCCCCTTTTTCAAAAAGGGGCCCCTGAATTGTTTGTAGCCTGGTGTCCGACACGAGATGGGGCGCCGGATACTGCTCCAAGGGCTCTAAATAGTGGGATCCTAATTTATTTTGATTTGTTCAAAATTTAATCTTGATCACCCTTTTTTCCTCAAAAGGTAAAAAAACCGCTGGAGTTTAATTTGAGTACAGTTGTTGGCTTGGGTGAAGTCTTGGTCATAAATTTGTGACTGGAGATGTTTTTTGATGTGAATCAATTCTCAGATTGGGAAATCAGAAAGTTAGTTTAGGTTATCTATGGTGTGGGAAAATGGTGTGTACGATGGACAAGAGAGGAGGGTGGAGGACAAACCTCAAAACCCAAAACACAAACCTGTATCGCCCTGTACAGATACTCGATTTTCGAGTAGCTCTGATCAAACCTCACCAGAACGTCCTAGAAACAATCCAGACAATGCCTGAGACAATTCCAGTTAACTCCCAATTGAAAATGCTGTCGAATCATCACATTGAATTGAAAAGTAAGTTTTTAGATCATTTAAAACGAGTTAAAATCACAATGATAAGTACTAACTATGCTTTCTTCTGGCCTTTTTATCAAACAAAAAGAGTTGCTTTGAAATATTACATTCTTTCAATTTTCATCACAGACAAATCTCAATCAATTTTAGTCTCACCTTTCCAGAAATCAAAGGCACTCAGATTCTGACTGACTTGGTGAACAACACAATTCACTCAACAGACAAATAATTATCCGCGCTCAATGTTCATACAATGACAAGTGATACCATTCCCTTCAGGTTTAACTTTTTTAGATAAAGACTCCGGTACAAAGAAGGCTTGATTCTCATTGTGTAACGACTTCAGCATGTGATAAATGTTCAGTTTCTTTCTTGTGCAATGATATTGAATAGGAAAGTCTCAAGGTTTGAATTCAATACGAGAGTTGAAAATTCAACATTGATGTCTAAACAGAAATCCAACCCAAGAGACTATTTGCATTTGAAGTAGTGAATTGAAATTGAAAGCTTGTGGAATGATGCATACAAAAAAGAGGGTCTGTGTATCCAAATGTACTAATTTTATGCCTTACTCTCCTGATCTGGTCAAAAGACAAAACTTTTAATGTTTTCGATTATAAACTCCAATCAATTAAACTTGTACTTGATTCCTGGATGTTTGTTGGTTTTTTGAAGAATTTTTTGAGTGAGATGTGGTTTGGAATTTCCAATGTACAATTTATCTATATCAAAATGCTGTTTGTACAATAGGAAGGATAGTTATTGCAACTTATCATCGTGATCTGGATCGTCTCTAGGACGTTCTGGTGAGGTTTGATCAGAGCTACTCGAAAATCGAGTATCTGTACAGGACGATACAGGTTTGTGTTTTGGGTTTTGAGGTTTGTCCTCCACCCTCCTTTCTTGTCCATTGTAGGTGTGAGACTATACGGTATGGTTTCTTGGTTTTAAACCCCCTCCCACTCCCACTCCAATGAAAAATGATCAAGTTCATCAAACTACCTACAAAGTGAGTTTTGTTACTTTTGTGTTCTTGTGAAGTAACAAATTCCACTCTGCACTATACACACTGACTTTTATGATTGTCTGAATGCCAAGTCAAAACTGATCAAGAATTGGCTTGAACACATTCATGATGTGCACAATTCAGTCAAGTGGCCAACACTGCATGTAAAGTGATACAAAATTCAAAATCACATGGTGAGGGACCTACGAGTATGACAACAAAACACACTTTTTACTGCAAGGGGCATTGGATTTTAGTGATGAAATCTTTCTTCCTTATCAAACTTTCTTCCACATTTGTGAATTTTCTTGATCCAAAGAACATTTATTTAGGCCACTTCTATAGGTTATACACATAGTATCTGTCAAATAAAAACACTTCCAGGGAAGCTCACTCCTTCCTTCCTCTTTTTACTCCTTCAGTAGTCAGTATTTTCTTATTCTTTTCCTCTATATTTGTGTACGTAGTCACTGTAAAAAGAAGATACAGGGAGAAAATAGTCAAAAATCTGCTACTTCTGGAACAGAAATGAGGAGAAATGACTCAAATTTATGGATCAATTTTTCTCCCCAGTATTGAGCATCTAATTAAGGCACACAGAAAACTTCTTTGGCCCAAGAGAATTGACTTAAAAATCAGACCAAAAGGTTCTATAAGGGAAGCAGATTCAAAATCATTCAAGTCCCTCAGCACAAATGACTCATTGAAGGGTTTAGTTCAGTTTGAGGAAGATTCATCCACCAAAATTTTATTCTTCTCACAGACAAAAGCATAAAGCCTGATTTGTTGTTATAAGTCTCTTGCTGCACATGAGAGTCTGTGACAAGCAGTGTGGAGCTTGGTTGTGTTTAGATATATTGGTTCTATCTACTATTTTCTCAAACTTTTGTTTTTTGTGCTGTCCTGATTTTGCACAGATTTTGCACAGAAATTCCAAAACAGGTAAGAGCTATGTTGCAGCTTTCTTCCAAAATTATGATTCTGTTTTTACCATTCCAAGTTTCCCTAGCCCCAGAATCAAGAAACATTCCTTCCCGGCTACAATAGCTTGAACTCTTGTAATCTCAATACATTGAGTGATTCTATAAATATAATACATATAAGCACTAGAGTCTCGTGGGCGGCCCGCCGCCCTCCCGACCCAGTGTTTTACGTTTACGTATGTGACGCAGGTTGACCGTTGTCAATTGTCCCTCTTGACACGGCGATAGTGTCTACGCTGCAAGTGACTGTTTCGGCCCATGGGCCAATACTGTCTCCATGCCATACTTCGAGTTGACCACCAAGGCGATTCAGCTTGCCCAGTTTTTGTTCTTATTCGTCATTATGGATTGTCATGACTCGGTTTTGAGCCACGTTTGTTGGTAAACATTGCAGATGCCGCTGTGTAATTAGACCCTTTTCAGAATCTTTATCATGGTGGCAGGCTTACACCTCGTGCAAAGATTAATGCATCAGGGACAAAGGTTTCTTTGGTAAAACAATAGGTACATGATTAAGGGCTGAAGGGGCATTGACGATGACACGAATTACGTTGGCAGCGTATTGACGCATGGTGGACGTATCGGTATGCAGCCATTATGGACCGGAGGGGCCGGTTGCGAAGTATCGAGATGAATAGGTCATCGCTATGGCCCCGGTATGACCGCAGCGGCTCCTACCTCGACACAGGGTGCTGTTTCCATCCGTAGGATTCTGGGCAGCATCTTTTTTTCGTTTCGAGCACATTTTCTTTTATTTGTTTGACTAGGACTTCGGCGCCCAGCCGCCACCTACCCTGGGTCTTAGCTTGCTTAAGACTACATAGAGAATCACGTTGTCGTCTTATACATGTGCACGGAGAGACAGTGCCCATTAGCTTCAGCACTTCTTATCTGATCATGAGCCTTTTGGTCTTTTTTTTTTTGTACATATGGATAGTTTACATGCCTGGATGTCATCTCATGCGCATAAAATCATGTGCTCATGGCATCATAACAAAGGCTTATGAAATGCATGTGTTTCGAGCCAATCTAACTGTAGTCCAATCCATCGTTTTTGTTGCAGCACGTTGAGCCCTGATTATCACTTGGTGTGCGCTGCTTACCATGACAACGCGTCATTGCAGCGGGTGCGTGTATCATGCATTGCAGCCGATAGCACATGACGCGCTTCGCGGTATAAATGAACACCGCGTGGGCGCATGTCGATGGCGAATGATAGCCCAATAAGAGTCAAATCGCGGTAGCAAACATCGACTTCAGCTATCCTGATACTTAATTCCTCCGCCTCGATGGAACCCAATCCTCAACCAATCCTTCCGGTACGACTGACTGGAGTCTTTAGATTAGACAACTTAGTGAGTGTCCGTATTTTTGACTTAAGGCATGCCATGCTGACATTCTGGCGTTAGATTGCCGGGCGTACGAACGCTTCCAACCCTCTTCGTTATTACAGCGCTACAATTCTAGTCACCCATGATTCATTCTTACAGAAGACCATTCTCGTTGCCGATGACATGTTTACGGCTGCCTTGACTACAGGCGTGGCCTACAACATCAGCGGCAACGTCATCAATCATTTTCACGGCTATCCTCCAATCCTATTTCCAGATTATTTGACATTACCCCCTAGTCAAGTCTTGTACTATCGCGAAGGGGATATCGCTGACGCCATTAATATCAGGGCGTCCGGTGAAATATTGAAAAAGTGTTACCGCGAAGCGTGGCAAGATTTTTCGATGACCGTAAAACACGTTGTGGTAATCAAAATATGAGACCAATCAAAAAATCAAAAAAAATCGAATTTTCAATCACATCAATTATATTACATACAGTTTAATATTTACATCATTTTATCATTTAAACAAACTTATCAAGATAAGTATAAACTATCAACAAACAGATTACAAAAAGAAAGAAAGAAAAAAACATAAGAAAAACTCAAAAATATAGGTATACAGGTTGATAATTGGTTTTTCAGGTAGTATTATTAGGTTTATGGGTTTAGTAGGGTTATAATACGAAAGAGAAGCATTGTTTTAGTCAGCAACAACTTTAATCTTGGTGGTTGATAAGAGAAAATAGAAGTTATTGAGGAAATGGAAAAAAGTCGAAATTGGTAAACAAGGGTTTACAGGTAGTTTTACATATGTAACAGTGGTATTAGTAATGAATAAGGTTGCAAAGGGTGTTTTTAGGGATTTTCACGGTTGGAGATTACTGTGTAATGTTACAGAAGACAAGAAAAGCTTAGTAAAAGGTGTGTAAAGTGAAGAAAATAGGTGAAAATAGTCGAAAATGAAGGTTTTCAGCTGATTACATGTGTCAAATGACGTCAGAACATGATGAGTAATAGTTCATTCTACGCACAATTATTCATTTCATAATGTACAATCTTTAAATCATTAGTAACAGAGGTGTATGGCAAAAGTTATAAGGAATCAAAGGATTTGATTACACATGAACAAGATCACAAATCATTAATAACTAGCAATTACATCATTGAAATGCTGAATCATCATAAGATCAAATCAATATTCATTCTAGAACATTCAAAACACAGCATATACACAGCATATACACAGCATTTGATCATAAGAATAGAGATTAGTCATGTTTTACTGGTCAAATTAGTAATAAATCTTATCAGATGATGAATAGAAGATCACATTACATCATAGTAATTATCATATTGGGTTGATGAGCTACTGATGGCGAAATTTAGGAATGTAGAGAGTGGTTGAATCATTAGATCATAGCTGTTTACCAACATTTTAGTCATCTTTTGGTTTTTTAGATGGTAAAGAGGATTTTTTAAGAGCTGTTTACCACTTTAACAATTTGTATTGATGTGTTCATAAACTTGTGTCTTTTGTGCGAAATTATGTTTCCTTTCTTCTTCATCTCTTACATAGCATTAATCATTTTTATCATTATAAACTTATTAGAGCAGTACTAGGTCACTCAAATCAGCCCTTCATCAGAAGAGAAATTTGTTTTATGTGCCTTATATGACACTGTCATTCTGGAATAATATCAAAAAAGATATTGAGCTTATTTTTCAACATTTTGACTCGACTGGAATAACACTTTAAATGTGTTGAGCTTATTTCTCTGGTGCTTTTTATCAAGATACTTTTCTCTTATTATCAAAGACCTGGTTATATTTCTCTGTTATCAGGAGACTTTAACAACAAAGTCCAGTTTGTTAAAGATTCTCAGAAAGAGCAGTCTCAGACACCTTCTTTAGATCTATTATATCTTCAGATTATCCTCTTTCAAAGCACTGTATAGCCCTTGTTGTTCTATAAGTTCTACAACGTCGATTGGGATCCCTCTGTATGTGCTAAGTTATGAGTCGTATTGATGGTGTCTAACGTTATGTATTGCAGGACATGTGCCAAATTCCGTTTATATGCGAATACATCTATAAAACCTCAGCGGTTAATAACATTACGGACGAAGGGATGAGCATTGGGGCAACTGTTCACGTGCAGGGAGTCGTCCGAGGCTTCTGCGAGTTGAGGGACACTTGGGTCTTGTCCGTACGCAATTCCTTTGACTATATGCTCTGTATGACGCTGATTCAAAGTACAGGCTAGCCTTATCACTTCAAAGCCCTGCTAGCACGACAATGTAGGGGCGCTTTTGACAAAAGGCAAGCGTGGATGCGTCAATGCATAGTTTACAAACCACTGGGGAGCTGCAGGCGGACTGGGGTAATTGACTGAGTTGCTCATTCTTCAGCATTGCATGACATGGCCAAGCTCGTTTGTAGCGAGTCACAATACCTTAGATTGTCTTATCCGCTTGCGATGTACCAAACTATAGAAAATGTATGAACACTATTTACAAATGCCAGAATGTTAGAAATGAGGTTGAGAAGAAGGTCAACTTGTGTCTCAGCCTATTGTTCGTGTTGTGTATCGACAAAAGACAAAATTTAAGGCGATGCGGGACGCAAGCCGCGTTGTCGACGACTTCTACGCACGCGAGATTTAGTTTTGATTATTTCAATCTCGCTCGTCTGATTAAGTCTCTTTGTCAGCGCTTTGAGTATGTTTTTATAATGTAGATGGCTTACATTGATTTCCCAAGTGTTAGTGTTTGCAATGTACCCAACGACTGTACCACGTAAGCTTATAACATTGCCTATCTTGAGCGCGTCCATACTGAGAGTAGTACTGATGTGTGGTTCAATAATGTAATGAGCCGAGAACTCGACATAATCGTGTCTCTGTTGTGCGGTGATCATCGGTGAGTAAGATGCCTAGGCTGGAATTGTAACTAATACGAACCGTAGTATCCAGACATCGGTGCAAGACTTTGATCACCTCGACATTGTGAGTCGCTGGATAGGCAGTCTGCAGGAACCAGTCCACTATCTCGCCGATGCCATGAGCGCATGTTCTATTCATCATGCTATTGAGCCTTACTTCGGCGTGATTGAGGGCAATGGTGCACTCGCTGTCCTCAAATATGGTCGACATACTTTGGTCGCCGCCAGCAGCGATTTGACCATTGATTCTATAAGCGTGATTCGGCCTAAGCATGGTTTGGGATTTTTTTGCGGCTATCATCAATGGTATACCTTCAAGTTCGTGGTGTTGAACAATGACATTTGACTTGAGGCATTTATATAATGGACCTTCATCAATCTCGACCTAGAAGTGACTCGTCAGTTCTATGCAAAAAAACATATCTATCAATTTGCTCACAATTTTGTCAGTCCAGAAAATGCTGCTGAACCTTAGCGGATATTTCGATGCCATGTGATTCTGCATTTTGCGTTTGTTGATTTTGTAACAAAAGGGGGATGTGAGAGCAAGTAAACGCGCGGCAGTCCAATGTTAGCAGGAGGGTATGCCTTTTATACCAATAGCCGTGTACCATGCACACTGGGAGCTGTTTTCGGCGGTTGTTAGCGTCATAATGCTATGGACTGATGTAATCTCACAAGTATTCGCTAGTCAGCCTGGCCCGGCTAGTTGTGTTGGGAGGTTGCCGCGGCTCACGTATCAAATCCCGTTCAGCATAGGCTTGGTCGGATTATTCACTGGGCTAAACCTGGCTTGTCACAAGAATGTAGCCCAGAGGATTAAGCTTGACGTCAGACGAGTAGAGGCAAAGAGTAACATAATCGCAAGAGTCTCGAACCTCTGAACAACACAGGGAAAGGTCAAAAAGTCCTAGAACAACGGTACAATTGATAACAGAAAAACAACATGATGCATACTAAGTAGCGAGAAACTCGCGGTGAACAATATTGAGTGTCGACGTAGCGCCTCTCTGCTTCAAAGATACCCGCACATGGGAAGCAGTGCTACACCTCGACAATGCTACATACAATTGACCGTGAGCGAAAACGTCGTTTGGCAAAGAAACCATTACCCGATTAACACTCTGACCCTGCGCTTTATTAATAGTCATTGCGAATGCTAGATTAACCGGGAATTGGTGGCGATAAAACGATAAAGGCATCACATCGTCACCGGTGTGCAAAGTCTTAATTTTGGGCAACATGACCATTTTACCACGATGACGACCGGTAATAATTCTGCAACGCAAAACACCCGTACCACATTTGGTGACTATGAGTCGCGTCCCGTTACATAAGCCTTGAGCCAAGTTGAGATTTCTTAACAGCATGAGAGGTACGCCCGGCTTAAGCTTCAATATATTCTTGGGGAAAGAAGCTATTTCACATGAATTAAGGATTTCCGGCGAAGCCATTTCGTCATGTTCCTCCGGAATATTGAACGCCTGGTATTGAGTTTCATCGCCGTTCAAATCATTGAGGACGGTGTCATTGATATTGTTCACGTCGACATTCAGCGGTGTCAAAATGCAGCGATCCGAATAATAATCGCTGAGTTTTTTCCAGTTCTCTTGAGCAATCAATCCCCCAATGCCTTCGTAATGGTCTCGTACCGCAACGGCATCATATTCTTCGTTTTGACACATAGCCGATATGTTGCATGTGTCAATGTTGATGAGAGCGCAGTCTTTGCTTTGAATCTTACCGTTGCCTAGACAAAGAAGCCAGTCCCCAAACGAAGCATTCTGTTGGATGTCCTCGTCAGATTGACCATCAAGGGGTCGTAGACGAAGATTGACGTGTAAAGCATATTTGTCAATCTTGGACCATAAAGGTGACATCTTGAGAGACGCGTTGGCCTGATTGTGCATAGAAGATTTTGGTATCACGGGAAGTGTTTGGCGAAAGTCCCCTCCGAAGAGAACGCACATACCTCCGAAAGGCTCCGTGCTTCCACGCAGGTCTCGCAGACTACAATCGACACAATGGATGACAGATTTGTTCTGCATCGCAATCTCGTCCCAAACAAGAAGAGACGCGGACTTAAGTCGTCGGCCAACTCTGTCGGTTGGGCTAAAGGTACAGGTGGTAAAATCGTCGTGATGGATTGGGACCTTCAAGGCAGAGTGGGCTGTCTCGCCACGTAAGAGGAGTAGGGCTGCGACGCCCGACGATGCAACCGAGACATAACCGATTCCACGGCTGTTGGCAGAGTGTAGTACGGCGTTCATGACGTATGTTTTACCAGTTCCGCCTGGGCCATCTAAATAAAACATCCCAGACTCTCGCCTATATAAACAGTCAGTAACTGCGGTGTATACATTGAGTTGTTCTCGATTGAGGTTTGGTAACGCATCATGAAGATATGCCAAGCTCGCCTCGGAATCGTCTTCTTCTGAATCATTGGCTTGATAAAGCGGACCAAGGTATCTAAGTCTTTCAACGTCTTCTTCGGGCAAACCGGCGTCATCTAATGTCATATCCATCTCGGCTAGGCATTGGCGGAGGCGGTGTAGACCAAGAGCCTCAATTGTTTCGGTATCAATCTGAAGGTCGGGGTTTGTACGACTGATAGCCCGCTCGCAATCGTCACTCAAGTCCGTCTTGTAGGATAGCCACAGTGCGAATGGATTAGCTGGCGGGGAGTGTTTGAGGAGCAACGCGAAGTAGTTCCGAAGTTGGGCGCCCGTTTGCCATGAGGCAGCTTCCTTCATTGAAGCCGCGTAGTGTTCATCGCCCAGCAGAAGACCCAATTCATGGCAGGCACGACGGTACGAAGGGCATACAATGCCGTTGACGGTCCTAATATTGGCGAAACTCGTCGGTCCGCGGACGTTAGCAAGTAATAACCTCAAGTAATAACGTTCCCCCGAATAGATCGATGCGAGGTAAGTTCGTGATATCGTGCTCGTGTTGTATGTGCGATCTTTCCAGCGGTTACTTGTATCGTCCCATGTGAAGTGGGTAGGCATTTCACGATATAGTAGAGTCCGAATAGGTATGTTGTACTTTGTCGTCACGTGGTTTTCAGCCTTCAACTTGAAGAATTCAGTCAGAGTGGTTCGGCCCGCTCGTCCACTTTCAATGTTCTCCTCGAGACTCTCTTCGTCCCGCCATGTGACGATTTGTGCGTCTTCCAGATGTAGGGCTAGTCGCTGAACTGCAGGGAATCTCCCAGACATCGGGAACTTGAAAAGTCTCCAGCATGCTGGAAAGGCACGTGAGTGAAATGTTATTGGATAGCATGGTATAAAAACTCACCTTCAGATGCACTAACGTATCTTCCATCGACGTGTCCAATTGTTTCATCGGCGCACGTGAAGGATGCTGCTGAGCGGTCATGACCTTTTGCAATATATTTATAAAGGTACTTGACAGATTTGGTGCTGACAGGGATCTCAACATTGATATGGCATTCATACCGCAACAACAAATAGGGATTATATGGTACGACGTCGCGCGTCGTACAAATCCTGCCTTTGTGCTCGAGTGTGCGTGTTGAAGCGGGTCTCTTGTACAGTGGATATGCGTTCTCTAAAACTTGTGTGACATCGGAGTTGGGACGTGGATAGCCGTTTTTGCACGCGTTGTCGCGCCAGCACTGCCTGCCTTTGCAAGGTCCGTGGATCATAAAACGCCCGACGAGATCGTGTAAACGGGGATTCGTCTTGGGACATGGAATGTCGGCGCTAATTTGGAGGTCAATTTTATCGGCGCTCCGAAGACGATTCTCAGCACTCATCATGATTATTAGGTGTGCGTGGGGCAGTGATCTTTTTTGAAATTCAATAGTATAGACGTATGCAGCACAGTTTCCGAATCTCTTACGCTTCGTCAGATCGCCGAGTAGTTCTTGAAATTTCAAATTGAAAACACGAGCGATGATATCGGGTCGATCTTGTGAAGTTTCGCCTGGCTTTAGTTGCTGTGTAATCTCGGGCCACTGAGGGTTGGTCGTCATAGTAATGAAATAGCCGGGTTCGCCGAGTTCCTGGCGCAATGCCATGGCATCGTGATAAAGTTCGGCCATTGAGCGTGGACCACCAATAAAGGAGGACTAGCACTTAAGCGGCGGGCGCCGCTCACGGACTTTGAGCACCAGTTTAATGTATACCCAATGTAGTAAACTGAAGCAGAGATAACACAATCACAATTCAAGCCAACCTCCCAACCTCTGCGCAAGAAAAAATTAATATGAAAAAGATTAAGTGCACAGAAAAAATATGAAGGCAAGCACACCACAGCTCACTAAACCTAATCCAGGTAAAACATTTTATATTTGACTAACATTGCCACTGACCCACAATCAAACAACAACCAACGAGATGGGATTAAGCATTAATGCAAGATATTGCATCAATTAAAATAACTGAAAATAAAAAGAAAACAAACTAACACTAAGCTTCATTCTCCTTTGAACCAATTGACTGAATCCTATAAAAGGAAAAAATATGAAGTGTAAGCCAAAGAAACTATCAATGCACTAAATGAACAGGGAAACAAACATACCAACAATTCAGTGTGAGTCAATTAGTTAGTGAAGACACAACATATACCATAGAGCAGGAATCCACCAATTCAGGATCCTCTACACATGACCCATTCCAAGTCATAAAAATGGATTTGAATACAGTCAGGATTGAACCAAGATCAAGCGAAAACTTATCTGAATGGCACAGGAGCAATCAGATCGAATATAAGTGAGAGAATGAATGTTCACATAAAGTTATACCTCAAGGTTTGATTATCAGTTCTGAATGGTTCAACTTAAACTTCTGAAAGCAATTGCTTGGATTAGTCAATTGCTGAATGCAGTCCTGATAGATTCTTTAATCAATTAGTGATTGGTGGCCAACGCAAAAAACCCAGATATTTCAAAATTAACGCTAAGTTCAGTCAATTTCAAAAGTTTTGATTTTGATTTTAAAGATATGTGTGATATGATCGATTGATCGCATTCAAGTCCTAAATTGGGAGTGATTTGAAATATAGAACTTGAAGATTTTAAAGCAATACAGCAACTCAAAAGAATGATAGAATTTAATAAATTTGAAACTGAACTGGATCAGAAAGTGGTTGATTAATTTAATTCATTTAAGAGTCAGCTTGCTGATGAATTGTTTGATCAATTGAAACTAATGATAAGATCAAATTGTGTGTGCTTTCTTTTGTATATTTTGGATTAGTTGGATTTGCTGTGATGGATTGTATTTGTAAAAGTGGATTGAATGTTTCGTTGCTTTGATCGTACATCATTGATTCAAATTTAAAAGTCCAAAATCCTAGGAACACAAGAGAGGAAGTCAGTAAAATTGATTGAGAATCTTTCAAGATTTCTCATCGATCAGCTTTACTCACTCTACTTGAGACGATCGTTCTGGAGATAAGTTTGAATGAGAAGTTGATTCAATTTTGAGACATTAGTGGCAGCAATCAAATTACAACTATGTGCATCAATACTCGAGTTTTGTCTTTTCATATTCAGTTTAACGTTGCTTGCGTTCGACTGGCCACTCACAATTCATCATGTTAAATTTGCGCTTCGCGCTTGCAATTCCCTGAGTAGCAGCACAGTGCTGTCAACAGAGCAGCTGTAAGCGATTTGGTGTGAGGGAATGGTGTGTTTGATGAACCTGATTGTTGAGTAGAAAAAAATGGATTGAGGCAATCATCCAATGAACGCAGAAAGGTGACGAGTTCTGATGTTCAATGAGCAGGAAGAAAAAGAAAAGTGAGTTTATGCGTCAAAAATTGGGCCAATTGTTTCAAGCATTCAGCAAGGCGAACTCACAGGGAGGAACCTGCCATCCTTCACCAGGATCGCTACCACCACCCATACATTTGACCACCACATTGACCAAAGTAGATTTAGTTGTAGTAGGCAGATGATTACCAATAGGAATCAAAGGATTTAATTTAGATAAAGCTAAGAGAGAATGTTTAGATTGAGTAGTTTAAATTGAATTGGTCAATGGAAAATGAGGTAAACTGGGAGGTGAAGCAGCAAGACTTGAGATTGGAGTTCTTCTCCTACTTTAATAAGGCGATATTGGTTGACGATGATGTTCCATTGACAATGAGAATGTCCAAATATTGAAATCAAAAGAAAAAAAAAGTTGAGCAATTGATCAAAGAACTCAAATACTTCAAAGTGACTTAGGTGTACTGATACTCAAATCGAATCAAAAGCAAATGGGTGTTTCACTGCAGCAATTAAAACTGCTGTCTGTAAGCTCAGCACCGATTCACGGAGTTGAAGAATCATATCTTCGTAATTGGCTACAGATTCTCCTAAAGACTTGTTTGGGTTCCTTTGCTCTCAGAGCTCCAAATTGTTGAAACCTGGCCAGAGTAAGAATAACAGAGTGTTAAAACATCAAGAAGTTTGACATGATCATGCGCAAAAAAAGAACATACCAATATCTTCTTGCATTTGTTTTTCTTTTCCAATATGATTCTCTTCCAACTTGCTTGAGTTGATCATGGTGTAGAGTTAAGACAGAGTCCTCAGGCTCCAGCTTGTGTCACAGGGGATCTAATGGACACATACCAATTTCTTTGAACCTTGATTTCCTTGGTACATTAATTGAAATTTGCGTGGCGTTTGGGTTTTACTAATTAAGTCTTACTACGTTGCTCCAATCTTCTCTGTCTTGTTTTACTTGATGTTTCCAACCAGTATGAAAAGTGGGGGATGCGCACAGTATCTACTTCAAGAGTAGTGAAATTCTTTGAAAGCAAGCGCGTGGCGGAGTGTTCAATCAGTTGTGTTGAGTTTAGATGGATGGGGTATACGGAAATGGATTCCAAACCTCATGGGGTAGTGGTTCCTTTATGTCAAAAGTTGAAAGCGGGTAAGTCAGTATGTTGTGTAAACTTGGGTATCCTGATTCACAATGTCAAGAACAATGTACCGTGAATGTAAGTATATCCATGCTATAATGTACATACTACAATGCGCTAGGTGATTGCCTTGCCAATCAACAAGGATACCCTCAATGAACATTGACACAGGGTGTGACCACGGGTGGTGTGAAAAACTGTGTGATATGGACGCGGGTAAAATGTGTCTGTAAATGTTGCAGCTTTGATTCCCATTTGATGGGGATTGATGTGAGTGTACTTTCCAGTTTTCATGCTTAAGATCATAGGTCCCCAGTCATTGTGAGTTGACTGAGTGGATGGTGACCAAGCGGCAAGTAAAACATTGTTCTTGATCATGTGTCACCGTTGGCGAGTGTCCCTTTCCCTAGGTGGCGGATGTTTATAGTTGAAATTAAAGCTGCCAGTAATGAAAATAGAGAAGGCTGAGGTCACGATGTTGGCGGATTGTATGTAGATGATGTGGCCGATGGCATGGACACTGGCGTTTATGTAGATCTGTAGATGACAGGATGGATAGTATGAAGGCTTGCTTTGCGTAGTTGAAGTGTGCGGTGTGTTGGATGCGCATGGGATGCGCGCGCAGATCAAACAGGTTTTTGACTCAGGTCCAATACTCATTTGGCTGAGAGACGGAGGGTTTGGTCGATTTTGACCAGTTTTGTAAGCGAACCCTTCCTTCGTTTAAAAGTTATGATGGCAGAATTACTGATTTGCCAGGTATTAGGTCGTTTCGGCCTAGAGCTTCTACAACGCCGCTGTACATGGCAGCGCGGAGGCGCACTTGGTTGTTTCTGATATATTGAAGACGCCGGTGTTCGACGCATACGTACATGTCGACCATGATCTCTTGGAGGAGAGTGCCAGAGGCGAGGATTGCAGAGAAGGCGTCTGGTCTTTCGAATAATATTCTAGCAAACCATTCTAAATTGGTAACTTTGCCTCCACGGCCTGAGAAGTTTGGTTAGCACCATATAGGACAAACACAATGAGAAAGATAACTTACGCGTTGAGCCAGGAATTCGATAATTAACGTCAAAACCTCGGGTTCCAAATGGCAACACCAGAGGGTAACGCAGCGCTAGATAACCTGGGTGCAAATCTGGAATCATTTCTTGGCCACCTTGATGTTTATACAGCATTACGTCTCGTGACCTTTCGCCAATCAAACCTTCACCCTCAATGATCATCGCGACCTCTTCAGCTGTGGGGCGATTATATCGTTGGCGTTCAGGCCCCACGTTCATAGCAGTGAGTTTCAAGGCGATTTCGGGGTGAGTTTCTAGAACGTCACCCGCGTATTTGAACATTTTCGCAAACGGGTTGTGAAGATAGAAGAAATCTTGAATGGCCTTGACAATGCCAGGGTTGAGATTTTCATAGGGATTGAGCGACCGTTCTTTGACTTCACCAAGGCCGCCATCACCAACCACATAGACCTGGGCGAAGGCGGGTTCCGAGTCGCCATCAGGACGTGAGCCTGAAATCTTGTGCAATAGGGCTCCTTTAATCCTGAAAGTGTTGACCCCGTATGGGCCATTTACCATTTTGTCGACTTTGGCGCGCATTGAGGTGAAAGAGAAGGCGTTGTTATACATTCGTATTAAACGTTTGAAGGTCTGACACGCTTGATGCAAGAACATATCTCGTCAGCATAGGCATACGTATATAGCAGAGGTATTTTGATTACCTGGGCTCTGGGATGTCAACAGATGTTTCAAGTAAGGCGGGACAACAGCTTCACCTTCATAATCGACAGGTAGAACTATCGCACCGCCTTGACAACATTCAGAATATGCGTGTGGGTTCGTTTTGTTTGCTGAAGACGGCCGTTCTTCCTTCCAATGGAGGGCGTTGCACTTAGAGCATAAGTCATTACAGGGTCCCAAGCGGTGTGGTAGTTCAGTGGGGAATCGAGTCAATAGCAAGGCTCCGGTAGCTTCGTGTTCTTTGCTTATGGCGAGTCCCATTTTTGCGTGTCTGCCTGGCTTGGGCGTATACTCTCAACAAATGTTGGGAATCATTGCGTGTTGTAAAGCAGAGGCAGTGCTGTTGATCGACGACGTAAATACTCGGCGTCGACAGTAGCTCGGTTGGCCAATGATCACCGGAAAGCTGCGATCAAGAGTATGGGTTAGCTTCCTAGAGGGTGTGATAGCAGCGTTGCAAAGAAGGTAGTTGACGAGTAGAACGGAGATAGTGAACATTGAGTAAAATGAGAAAACGCATAACAGTGCTGAGTGTCGACAGCAGGAGTTGCGAGGTCTTTAATATTGGCATCTTTGCGGGACAATGGTGTACCATTCATAACTTGTGCCTGATTTGGGCTCAGGCACATTTGGATGGCTGAGGCACCGATGTTCGGTTGGTACCTTGGGCAAGCAGGAGAGGACAATGTGCGTGTTATTGTATATCTACGACACGTGAGGCAACCATTGGAATGATTATATTGAACATGTATTTACGTGTATATACACTTTTAACAATAAAGCCGATAAGCGGACAACAATTAGTGTGAAGTTTTGCGTTTGTGACTGCGTGACAAATCTTTGGCAATTGTATTGTCGGACGGAGGAGGCGTGTCGGAGGTATACAGCACGACACCGTCATAAGACAGGACGTCATCTGACAATGGGTGCCCAATTTGCGCGTTTTCCGTTTCTCCGCGGGGAGGATAGAAGTCGTGGTAACATCCAGTGTTAGGTCGTTGCGACTGCGCGGAGCAAGAGGTGTTGACGTTATTGATGGCTTGTGCGGTTTGCAGAAGTTCGTGATTAAGGCTTGGGGGAGAGTGGCCGTGCAGGCGTGAGTCTATCGGGACGGACAGCGTAAAGTGGCGGACCTGGATATAAAAAATGAGTCAGATGGCAGTTGTATGCGGTTTCAATGGAGCGTACCTCTGATTCCCACATTTGTCGCTGCTCGTTGTAATCCATCAGCATACTATGGAAAGTGGCTTCGGAACCGACGTGCAAATCGTCTACGCTCGTCGAAGCGGCAATGGAGGGCCGGATATAGTGTCGGGTAGTGCATACGACGAGACTGTGGGTCTATAGAATGTGGTTAGTGCACGTATTATTGAGTGACGTCTTTAACTCACTATTGGGTCCTCATTGACAGAGCTGAGCGTGATCACAATAGTTGGTCGCGTATCCTCCAGAGCGAGAATGACGTTTTCGATTCTTTGGATAGTTCCTCAAGCGACGATTGAGACCCAATCAATGACAGAGTTCACGAAAGCAAGTGAAGTCGAAGGAAGCGGCCCGAGGTCAATTGCGTCGTTGGGGTCAAAATGAAAATGATCCTCGCGGGAGGTATTTGAGCCAATGAGGCGGCAAGTTAAGGCGTATATATTGCCAGCATTGAGGGGAGGAGAATGACGACCAAGGCATGCGAGCACTATAGGTGTGACAAAAGGATCCTCGTTGGAAATCCCAGATGTCGAAATAGCGCCACGGGCAAAGGTAAAACCTTTGTCGTTGGCGTATTCGTCGAAAATCTGCAACAGGGAATGTCAATACGGGTCAACTAAAGATAAGTAGGGTAGTTACCTCGGAGCCGGCTTGACCGACATAGTGAGCGAAGATAGTTTGCGATAATGATGTGGTATTACGGCGAGGCATTGATATCTATACTATGCACGAGTCAGTTATGGGTGTAAGTGTATGGGGGTTGTTTGACAATGTGGGGGCACTTGTTGTGGACTAAAATTGGATGAAAGCCATCACGAGAGACACATAGAGTCCTCTTATATCGAAATCACGGCGAAAAATCATTGGGATGGTACGCCTGCGATCAATGAAGAGTGTCGATGGAGTGGCAGGCTTGTCTGATAGAGGACAAATGTCGCGGTGGATCAGGCAAAATTTCTCTTGGGCTGCGATAGTTTGAACTGTGATTGATACGATGAGGCTAGAACGGGCTGTTAGGGCCGTCGGGGGTACGAAGCAGAAAGGCGCGTATTGGTGGTGAATTCGGAGCGAGACTGGTCGGGATCTCTAGACTGGCGAGATGGGCTGTGTAAGAACGGTTGTTGACAGAAATGATATCGTTAAGGCAAGGTACGTTGGCTAGACTTGCGTAGTCAGACAGTTAGAGAGTGTGGTATCTATTCAAGGGTTTGAAGATGGATGGATTATCAGTTTCGTCGATGTGTTTGAGGGTTAGGTCTAATCGGAAACGTACCTAAGGTCGCGTTAGGCTTAGATTGAGTATTGTTTCGGTTTAAGGTTAAATACAGTTGTATCGACGATATATAGCTTAAAAGATGGAGTCTAGGCCAATTCCGCAGCTATCATAGAAAAAGATGCTATGGCAGAAACAATCTCGTGGCGCATACGGTTGCGCAAGGCGAGTTCTAATCGTTGGGAAAATGCTATAAAATTAAGTGGAGGTTACATATAGAAGGCGCGAGTCTTGATTCAACTCGATGGATGCTGTGTGCAATTTCTGCGGCGAAGTAATAGAAAAATACTACGTCAGAAAAAGCATCAGCACATGTATCACATTTCTTGTGCAGACGATGTTATGTAATGAGATAGGCAGTACATTGATAGTGCAGCTAAAATTGTTGAAGATTTATCCTCGCGAGAGATAATAACGAAGGCATAATGTTTTGAGTTCTGGTTGAACTGTAGAGGTGGGCACGGTCGATTTAGTAGAGAGATTGGTATGAGGGAATGGCTTGGAGTCCGGTAGCTAGTGAAGGCTCCATTAGTGACCGGGACAACTATCAACGTGCAAAGGTTTCATAGCGAATTGGTAAAGTATGAACAATATCAACATTTTGCAGAACAGAGAACATGTAAGAGGATAAGATTGTATGTTACAGCGAATGAAAAGAGAACAAGGAGAAGCTATGACATTGCAAGGAAACATGATGGGCCTGTAGGACAGGGTTGTGAGGTTTGTGAGTATATCGGAACAACTAAAGTGCTAATCATTCATGTAGAATTCTTAGCGCGCTTGGCAGGGCTACTTGCAGCGAAGCGGCCATCAGGTGGAGGTTGGGTGGCAGCTCTGGCGGTGGCTCCCATTGGCGGGATGACGCTTTGCTGAGTGAGTGCGAGAATTTCGGCGAGCCTGGGCAACGTTTGTCAAGGGATTA